GCGTAGAGTGTGGCCTCTGTACACGTTTCGCTTCGGAGACAAGCGAGATCGTCACCCAACGCACCAGGTTCCCGGAGCTCCGTTCCAAGCTCGGTGATGATACGGTAGACCCGTCGGTATTTTTTAATTCTGCCCAGTCGCAAGCAGCCAACCGCGGCACCGGTAATGTGACGTGGATCCTGCATGCTGTCTTGATCGGACTGCTACCTTGTTCCAGCTCGGCGTGCAGTCAAGCCTGATCTACGCACTGCACGCATGGGCAGGCGTTTGCTAGCAGTCTTCGTATCCTGTCCATCACATCACTCGAAGACAGGCGTGCATGGTTCAACATTGGTTGGCATCTTCAAGCCAGCTGGGATGGCTAGAGCAATTTCCGAGCTTCAGCGTACAACAGTGTCCTTTCGTGGGTCATTCGGCTCTCTCTCTCTCTGGCGAGCTCCAGACTGGCTTGGCTCGGCTCCGATAGCTGGGCTTCCGCTGCACGGAGTTTTGATGGCGACCGGAGTCCACCGAATGCGAATGAAATCGCGACTTGGACGAGCCAGACAAATTGGCCGATCAACACCGAGCCGGATTCCCGACGACTGTCGTGTTTCCAACGGTACCATCGTCACATCTTTCTCGCGCTGTCGGCTACTGTGAGATCGTCTCCTTTCGTGAAACTGGAAAATCGAAGTCTTGCATCTAGAGCCCGATGGGAGAAATCACCCGATTTCGGCCTGGTGTTTTGAACGTGACCTGCTCGCGAGAAAGCGCGTCGAAGAGTTGTGTTAATGGGCGGCAGAGTGTGAGTGAGTGTTGCTGTTGCCGATTTTGACGGGGCACCCGAATCAATGCAGTCTCTGACAAACACTGATCACGTCTGCTTGCGGGGATCCTATTCTTCTCGTATCCCTCCACCATATCTATCCATCACCAAGCACATCTGACCGAGCTCGGGCCAGACCGCCACATCGAGCGACCTGCAACCATGGATCTCAACTTTGGCACGCCCGCTCGACTCGAGCGTCAGATTGCTCAGGATCTCATGGAGACGCAGTCCGAGTTTGACCTCTCGATGCCCGGTGGTGATACCCGCGACATCAGTGCTTCCCTTACCACCACACGCACCCCCTTGGCACCCTCGAATCGTCACAACTCGTCCTTCTCGAGGCCATCAGACTCTTCCGATGTGTCGGTCACTTCGCCCGCCAAACACACGCATCTAGCCACACCGCATGCCAACAGGCGACCGGTCACACTAGCTGCTGCCGTCCACAATGCTCAACAGGACTACGCTCACAGAAGCACGCACGACACAAATGCCACTGGCTTGTCCACTTCCTCTTCCGCTTCCAGCATATCAGACTCGCCCCATTCGGCTCAATTCCCTGATCCCTACGCGCACGTTCGAAGCACGTCGCCACCGCTCACCTCAACTCCTCAGCGTACCATCGGCGCATCCTCGACCGTCGGCTCTCGCACTCGCACGACCATGACGGCTCGTCCGAATCGATCAAGCAGCATAGAGAACACTGCCTCACACCGTCACGATGACACCACAAAGGCCTCGACGTCTAGGGGTGCTCGCTCAACACGCTCTGCATCCGCGGTGCTCGACGATCTCACCGAATCTTCAATCGCACCAGAAGAAGCTTCCGATCGCGACCGTGAGAGTCGAGCTTCCTCATCTCGTCTGCACGACGCTCAACCTCAGCAGCACGAATCCGACGGCCGTGACTTTGTCGTTCACGACGCTCCCACAGCTCCACTCACATCTCGGAGCATGTCGCCTGCTCTCACCCAGCCGGGTTCGGCCGCTGCCTCTGACGGCATCGATTGGCGACAACGTCGTGCTCAACGCAGGCAGCTGGTACGAAACGACGAGTCAGCTGTCGATGAGGACGAGACCCAGCACGATGCCGAGCCAGATACATATACACGAGCATCCTCGCAGCCCACTGCCACCGTTGCCACCCGCGCCGATTCTGTTGCCGAGACCGAGTACACCGCTACCGCCTACTCTAGCCCAGCAGCGGCTCGTCTCGCCCGCCAAGGTCTCATCGCAGCCGGTGCTCCTCAGAGGCAAGACACCAAATCTGCGACGAGTACGCCCAGTCGCCCGCTCCAAACTGATCTCGCTACTCCAAAGCATGCATCCGCCTCCGAGGAGCGCGCGAGAATGAAGCAGTATCTCCTCAACAGTGTCAAAGCGACAGACAGATCTCGCTCACGTACCGGCAGGTCCTCCGATGCGCACCTCGATGCCATTGAGCGTCTCAAAGCTCAGGCACAGCTCCACAGGACACCTGGCTCTCTCTCAGAGGGCGACGCTCGAACTATCGATAATGGTTCGCCGGCTACGTCTACCGATCCCACACCGAGACGCAGGATGGATCGCCTCGGGAAGGCAAACACCTTCGCAGCTGGTCGCACACCTCTACCCAAAGGAGGCGTTGCCGAACTGCTTCGACGAGGCGCCCTCTTTGGCGTTGCTGACTCTAGCGACGCATCCACCGCAGCCGTCGACAGTCCTCTACGAGCAGCGCCGCACGGTGTTGAAGCCGTCAAAGATGACGAGGTCGCAAGCGCTGTCGGCTCCACCACTACTTACTCCGAAGCGTCTTCGAACGACCTCGCCCTCGCCCCGAACGGATCAAAGCATGGTGCCATGGGTCTACGAGCCAACACCTCCTTCCCCGGTCTTGGTGCAGCTGATGCCGGTACCGAGGCCAACTCTGTTGCGAGACCACGCGTCGATGCAGCCAAGCTCGCACTATATCAAAGCAAGCTCAACGCACGCCTCGACGCCGAGAACGACGAACTCAAACGTGAGCGTGACCACTTGCTTAACAAGATCGCCCAGCTTCAGGCAGGCTCCTCGAACGAGGCTGTCAGCGATCAACTACAAGCGGAACGCCAGCGGGCCGATGCCCTCGACAAGGAAGCGCAAGAGCTCGCCGATCTTCTCGATGAAAAGGAGCGTGAGCTCGAGTCGCTGAAGACATCCCAAGATACACCTCCCAGCAGCGACAGCCGCGAGCAAGAATTGCAAGACGAAATCGAAGAACTTCAGAGCTTGCTCAAGGAAAGAGAAGAGGACCTGGAAGAAATGGAAGCCCGACTCGACCGTGAACGCGCACAGATGGAGGAGCAGGTCCAACAAGCCAAAGCTTTCTCCTTTCAAACCCTCGACAAAATCGAGACGGAGAGAGATCAAGCTTTGGAGCGTGTAGAGCAATTGCAGGCCGAGCTTTCCGGACTACGAAGCCGCGAGCGCGACACAGCGTCGACTGCTGCGCACGATCAGGTTCGCGTGGACGGGGATTCGGCTTTGCAGCTTCGCGTTCAAGAACTCGAAACCGAAACGGAGCGTCTGCACAAGGAACTTGAATCGCAAACAACACTAGAGGTCGAAGCTCTTCGAGAGCAAAGCAAGAGCGACGCTGCGCGCATTCGCGGCCTGGAACGCCGTCTGAATGCTGCCAATGCGCAAGCCTCCAAGGGAGGCTCCTCAGGCGACAGGAGTGACGACGATCAGGCTTTGCAGCTCGCGTCTCTGAGGGAAGAGCTTCGCGATGCACAGGCTCACATTGCAGATCTCGAGGTCAAAGCTCAGGATGGAAAGACATCAGGGTCGAGCTCGCTTCACAACGAAAGGATTCGATTCCTCGAACATCAAAAGGCCGAGCTGGAAGATCGCGTCCAGCAATACCGCGAGATGATCAGCAAGGGAGTGGGCACCAACCTTGCCAATTTATCCAAGAATGGCGACGGCGGAGATGCAGCCTCGCTTCCTCCAGTGACACCAGGCAGGACCAATCTTGGCTCTTCGCCTCTTCCGAAATCGGTCATGAGCCTGCGCAACATTTCGGCTGTCAAGACTCCTCGCTCTCCCGGTCCGCTCAGCGAGGCTTCTTGGCTGTACAACGAATCAAGTCTTGGTGCTGCCAACGTTGTGGACAGGATAACTTACCTCGAAGGCGCACTTGACGAGGCCAATGCTTCGATCGACGCCAAGCTGCAACAGCTCGATGACGCAGGTGTCGCCCATCTCACGCTCGCCGACAGGCTGCAGCAAGCTCACGAACGCATCGCAGAGCTGGAGGCCGAGATCGAAAGGCTTCGCGTGCTCGGCGGTCACAGCGGAGACACCTCCCAAGCAAGTCCGAACAAGAGCGTCAGTCAACGACAAAAAGTGTTCGCCGATGTCCACGCACAGCTCGAGGGACTCAAGAGTCGGTGGGCTGCTGATCACGACAAGCTGCAACAGCGCGAACGCGAGCTCGAACGTCGTGAGCGGGAGTTGCAAGATCGAAGCACCGAGAAGCGTCAATACCAGGAGGTCCTTGCTGAGCTCAACCGCTTCAAGGAAGCCGCATCTTCCTTGCAACAGGACTTGCAGAACGAACGGGCCAAGCAGCGAAGCAAGCTTGCCGAGACGCGAGCCGTCAGCCAGCAAAAGAACTCGATCGAAGGCAGTCTGTCGCGAACGCAGGCCGAGCTCGAAGCGGTCAAGCGCAAGCTCGAAGAGAAGATGGGCGGGCTGGAGGATCTCGGTCGCCAATACATGGAGAAGGCGGTCCAGCCAGAGAGCACCCTGGGTCGGCGCGAGCGAGCACAGCTCGACAGTCAGACTGAACAGCTCGCTGATCGCTTCCAGGCGGCACAGACCGAGGTGGAGGTGCTCAAAGCTGAGCGCAACGACCTCCTCACTCAGCGCGCTGATCTGCACAGGAAGTTCGCTGCCGCCAACGAGAACTACGAGCAGGTACTTGCCGATCTCGCTACATCCCGAGCGGCGTTGGCCGAGCATCAAACGCAACTGGACGAGCAGATCGAGCAGATGGAGGCGGCACACGCTGCGCTGCGCTCCAAAAAGGCTGCCTACGAGGAGATCGCCGGCGATCGCGATCGACTCCGTGCTGAACGCGATTTGATCGTACACGACGTGGGCATGTTTGAGCAGGAATTGCGCCGACTTCGTCGCGAAGCTGATCGACAGGGTGCCGATCTGGAAGCTCTCCGTGCCGAGCGCGAGCAAGCCCGACGTCAGCTGGCCTCTGACGAACAAGTCAAGGATCGGGAGCGTGCAGAGTTCATGGCGCAAGTTCGAACGTTGGTTGAACAGCTCAAGTCCAAGACGCACGAAGTGGACCGAATCAAGCGCAAGCTCGACGATTTGGAGCGTTCCCGAACGTCCGTCGTCGCTGCACCACCACCGTACGTCGAAGACCACTCGCTCATCGCTGCAAGGAAGATGCACGAAGCAGAATGCAAAGGTCTCTTGCTCCAGATCAAGTATCTCAAACTCAAGCTCAACCGCGAAATGGATCTTCGAGCCGACCTGGTCCACCAAAAGCAATACATCAGTCTGCTTCTGCAAGGATTCACTCGGTCAGACAAACAGCTCGGCAAGCTCATCTTTGACCTCAACCTGCAAAGTCCGGACAGAGATGCGAGGAGGAGGCCCGATCAGGTCACACGCAGATGGAGTAAAGCTCTCAATGCCACTTTGGCAGTGGCGAGGATGCAGATTTCGGCCAACAAGGCGAAGCAGGTCAAGGAGATCAAAATGAACCTCAGCAAGGCGCATGAGGAGGTGCAGTCGCGGAGAAATGTCGGTCGCGGATCAAATGCGCATGACCGTCAAAGTGGCACGGCAGCAGCGGGAGTCGTGGAGCGAAAGAGCGGGTTGGGCAGCTGGCAGCACGCGATGAAGGGATGAACGATGCACGATGTGCCTTTTCAATGTCAAACCTCAATACACTGTGTCTATGATGGTTGTCTATGTGTGTATGATCCTGTCCGAGCGACTGTCAGCTTCGCAGCGGCAGCCGGTCGATCTCTATGTGTCCGAGGGCTACATAATCTGCTGTCGGTGTTTTTCATTCTTCGTCATCACCCTCATCAGTGTCATCCTCGTCCGTTCCTTCGTCGTCTTGGCTCTCCTCGCCATCTCCTTCGCCGCCTGCTCCCTGCAGCTCGGGCACAATCGTGAGCTCATCTTGTTTGGTAAAGTCCATGAACAGCTGCGTCAATACAAAGACGGCAAAGTCCCTGTGAGTCCAGTAACACAGGTGTGCTCCGAGCGCGTCGATATAGGAACTGAGGCTGATGGTTTCCGAGAGGTGGTAGTCGATGCAGCCGTGCGGGTTGAGTGCGCGGAATCGACGTTCGGCGCGTTCGAGCGAATCGAGATCAAAGTCGTGCTTGTCGTCGGCCTCGTCTTCAGGGATTGAGGATGTGCGGAGCGCTGTCTCTGGTTGAAGCGTCTTCTTGCGTGTTCCCTTTTCTGTTTCTAGCTCGCGGGCTTCAGGTGTTGCGGCTCCGAAGTCGGAAGGCGTGGGACTTGCATTCTGGAGGTGGTGCCATTTGCGGATGGTCTTTATGTAGTCGGAACTGTCGACGATGCGTTCGCCCTTCTTTCTGGACGTTACCCTTTGCTTTTCTTCAGGCGATAGACCCGCTGGAAGCGCATCTGGATCGTCGGCGAGAATTCTCGCTTGTCTGCCGATCTTGCCAACAGCCTGGAAGGGATGCTCCTTGTATTTTTCAAAGATACGACTGACGCTCATGCGCGGCAACGACAAAGTGCGGAGCAGAGCCTCCGTGGCGCTCTCGATGGCGATGGGCTTGATCAGCTTGGCGTAGGCCGAGTCGACCGTGGGCGCCAGTTGGAAAGCGACTGGGTCGTTGGGATTGAAAACGTTGTAGACGTTCTCAGCGGCGAGGCAGCCGTATCGGTCCTTCCTAGTGTCGAACGCGTCCGAGGTGTCTTCAGGGTGCCTCTGCGTACCACTCCTCGCGATGAGCTGTCCGCCATCGAGGTGGAAGAAGAATGCAACGGGCGAACCGATGAAGAAGAGATTCTTGACGTTGAAGTGGAGACGATCGTTGCGTCGAAGCGCTTCGTGGTCCGACTGCTCGACTTCCAACAGCGGCGGAACGACTGAAGGCTGCGCCGACAATATATCCGCCGCGAGGGCTGAGCCGAGAGAATGGCCAATGAGGGAGACTCGACCTCCGTTCTTCTCAAAATCAGGGTTGCGACGGCAGAAGAGGCGGTAGGTACGATTGAGTTCCGAGATGACCGAGTCGATCATTTTTTTACGATGGCGAGATAGATAGAAGGGCACGTCTAGCACCACTTTTGTAATGATGTTGCGGATCACGGGGATGGCCGCGGAGTTGGTGATGTCGTCGAGGGTGTAGAAGTTGTCGTTGTCCTCAGGCTCGTCGTCGAATGCCACGAAGCGCCGCCAACATATTGGCAAGAACTGTACGCGCCGACCTCGGGAAAGTCGGCGTACGGCAGGATCACGCGCGTTCTCGGTGGCCAGATTGCGGAGGTGCTCGACATCGTAGACAAAGTCTAGAGCTTCGAAATCCTCTACCAGGGATTGACCGATGCCGTGGATGGCGAAGACGAGCTCTGGAGGCTCATCCTTGCGATCGTCGGGCAAGAGGTCGGGGTCGTTCTCGGAGCGCTTCTGTCGGTCGAGCTCGTCGTGGGTCATATCTTGTTTGACCTGGCGCTTTCCCTCGTCGGCAGCCTCGTTTTGGTCATAGCCAAAGAATCTCTTGAGGGCGACGAAGGGGCGCAAGGCTGCATCACTGGAGGGGACGAGCTTGGCAGCGAAGGATCTTCGCTCGTCCTCATCTCCATTGGTCGAAGATCTGGCGCGATTAGGACCATCCGCTCCGCCGCCGGAGGGGGGAGAGGAGCCAGCCCTAGCAGCGCCTTGGCGCTTCGAGGCAGACCGAGCGCCGATGCTGGTACCTTCTTGCTGCGCCTGTGTATACTTTGAAGAGCCGTTGGCGTTTGACGTGCCGTCCTTCTCGTTGTCGTTGGCCCAGGGCAGGGAGAGATTGGAAAATGGGCTGAAGGACCTTTGCTCTGCGATCTGCTCTGCACGATCGAAACCTCGGACAACGACGGCGCCACCGAGGACGGACAGGAAGCGGCCACGAAGATCCTGAGAAAAGATACGACCGACTTGTGCGTCCTGAAAAGAGACTTGACCTTGATCCTTCATGCTCGGGAGTGGATAGAGCCTGGCCCTTTCCGTTTCTTCAGCCGTGTCAGCTGCTTGGTGCTTGGATGCTTCAGTGTCGAGATCGGTAGCATGGAGCCAAGGCTGAGCCTGTTCATAGGCATGGTCGAGGTCTTTGGATAAGGGATCGTCGCAGCTGATGGGTACGTAAGATCCGTCGGTGAGGGACGAATAGAACCATGTTGCTCTCACGACCTTGAGCAAGACACCTTTCCAAAAGACAGGATAGAGAGTCATGGATTCCAGGTCGACATCGAAGAGGTTGTCCTCCATGACCTCCACTGTGGCAGCACGATCGGATTCGGGCTCATCTGGATCAAGGACAAGGTTGACTTGGGACTTTTCTGATTCCGACTTGTTGTCATCTCGATCGGAAGATGACTCGGAATCGACTGAACGATCTCGCGAGTTGTCGTTTCGATCAGACCTTGGCTGGTTGTTGGCAAAGGGAAGGTAGCTGCGCAAACCGTTCAGCCAAGGACTGCTCGAGGTCTCGCATTTGCTCGATGCTGAGTCGGAATTGGGCTTGTGTTCCGAAGACGGGTCCTCAAAGCCGGCAAGAGCGGTGTGAATGGCATCTACGCCAGACGGAGGAGCATGCGGAGCAGAAGAGTTGGCGGGTTGCTTCGCATCACGGTTCAGGCGCTGCTTGCGAGGCGAATGGTCATTGGATTCTCCCGCGAGTTTGTTCCACCTCTTTTCGAGCTTGTCGCTGTCTTGAGGTTGAAAGGTAGCCCAGGCGTCGCCGCGAGCGTACATCCATTGTGCCTTCTGCGGTGGAGGCGTCGAGGAAGACGACTGGCTGGACTCGGATTGAGATCGTGATTGACATTGGGATGGCTGAGTCATGTGTGGCCAGCGCGACACAAGCGCAAGGTCGGTAAAGATCCGATCTCGACGAGGTGCCGAACGGACTGCTTCCGAAGTGTGTGTGATGTGTTGAGGAGAAGCCGACAACGAATATGATGTCTGTTAGCTTTGCAGCGGTGAAATGCGGCAAAATGACGAAAGTGCTGCATCGGATTCTTCCGAGCTCCAGCCTAGAGACTCGCCGTTCGACCCGATGCATATCCGATTCGACTCTCAGCGATACGCAGCCTCAAAGTCAGCAACAGGGTTCTGCACGGGACTGGGAGCGCAGCTGGCGTATCGCGGCCGTGGTCCCGCGCTTCGGCAGGGGGGAAATTCAAGAGGGGCCAAGTGCTGCAGGCTCAATGTGTGCATACGTACGTGGCGGCAGACCAACTGAGTCGAGTCTGTAAATTCAACTCGGCTGCAGTCACAAAGCACGAATCACGAGCGGTTTTCTGTTTGGACTGCACAGCCAAAAAATAGAGATTGCAGAGTGGGCCCATTTGTTGATATCTTCCCCGTCAACCCCCTTCGCCACCACTACCACTCACCCACCATTCCCTACGCATGGATACTAGCTTTTGTCTCTCGTCATTCCGCCTACCAGCACCATCCAAGGTGGGATGTCACGAGTAGAATTCGCTCGCCCCCGCCATCAACACTGCCTAAGCCGCACTTGACACTCGACTATCACTGACACCCTGTACGGATACACCTCGGGACGATCAGCGGACGAAGCGTCGTTGAACCGTGTCAACATGGCGGCGGCCACCATGTCCTCTGCAACCTTTGACCCTGCAGACTCAGCCGCCATGTCCTCACAATCCTCGGTCTCGGTTTCCTTTTGGGACAACTTGAGCAGGCATTGGACAGAGGCCGACAGCAACAAGCAAACCCTCATGGCCATCCTGCTCATTCTCCAGCTCGTGGCTCTGTTTTGCTTCATCAAGCGCTCCCTGGATAAGATGTTCGGGCGACGTGCAGAGTATCGCAATCAGCGCACAAAACACTTTGCTCGTAGAGCTGCTGTTGCCGCTGCCGGTGGCTCCTCCAAATCGGGCATCCCTCTCAGCCATCAACGCCCGCTCTATCGTTCCGACATCAAACCTCAGCTGCCACCAAGACCGTCTCAAAACCATCCTCTCCGCTCATCAGGTCCATCCGCATCCCAGCCATCCTTTGAAACCACCTCCACCGGCGACATTGTTTTACCGTCGTGGACTGATGCAGGTCCCACTCCGCTCAGGGTCATCATCGAAGAGCCCGAGGAGAGTCTCTCCCGCAGCAACTCTCCCCTGCCATCTCGGCCTCATTCGCCCGCCATGTATCGCGACGCACAGCGTTCGCCCGTCTCTGCTGTCTATCAAGACGTTGCTCCTCACCACTGGGCCCATCCCTCCAACTCCCAAAGAGACAGCACCTCGCTCAGGCTCAGAGAGCGCAACGATTATTCCATGCTCCCTTTCAACATCGATCGCTCTTCTACCCCAGACACTCGTCTTGAAGAAGTCAGGCGCCCTTTCAGTCGACCAAGCCCTGCCGACAGCCACTTATACACCACCTCGCAGCAGCCCGCATTCGCAGATCCGCTTTCAGCACAATCCTTCTCGCCTGCCTGAACACGCTCCGTTTACCGCACAATAGATACCCCTCTCCGCAGCACGCCCACTGCGGTCATCATTCCACGTTCCATATGTCTTGCAGATCAGCACAAACACAATTGTCTTCTTTAATTTGCATCTCCTTCTCAGCCTCTGCGTCGCAAGCCGTGGTTCACGTTCCTTTCGTTCGTTGTGCTTTTAACCCGTCCAACGACCCGTCGAAACATCTTCACCTCATGCAGGGATCTGCATCGTCACGCTGTTATGAGATCATGCAACATACGCATCCGCTCAGAGCTGTGAAAAAGTCTATGTTTCAACGAGCAGCCTCGCATGCCGGGCAAGCGGGAAAGTCTGACGAGGCTCGGTAAGGAGTCGCGACGGTCCATCAGCACTGGTGCACTGCGCCCGTCTTTCCGCTGGCTGTGTCGGAAATCGCCGTCCATACTGTTGGTGAGATCATCAAAGTGTGGGCAATCGTCAGCGCTCCGCTCAGCAAGACCACTAGATAGCTACGTGTACTAACCGCTGATCACGAGGACGACCGAGCCGAAGATGGCACACGCCACACTGAGCGGCCGTGTTGATTGCCACCATTTTCGGTTTGCTGCTGCTGGTCGGAATCGTACACTTGCGCCAGGTCGAAGCGGTAGTTCCACTTCGTCAACGTCGACAGACTCTCTGACACCACCGTTGACGCCCGCCGTTCGACCACCCTCCATTCTCTCTAGGCGGTCGAGCGTGGGAGGCTCTTCCTCTCCCCCATCATCGTACTGATTGGCTCGAATAGGATTTTGACCGTGGTCCATGGAGCCGTTGGATTGGTCGATGAGAGCCTCGTGTTCCTCCTCTCCGCGTTGTCCACCGTGCTGGGCATCTGCGTGACTGCTGCTAGGGCCGTGATCTCGCCAAGAAGAGCTGGTGAGATGAGGCAAGTCAGCGGTCGGTACGCGTTTGCCTGTCTCGCTGGTAAGTTTAAGGTAGCAAAGACTGGGAAAGATGAATGCCAAGGCCGTTGCACTGAGTCCGCCGGTCAATTCGAGCACGATACCGAGGTCGCATGTCAGGAGCGAGATGATCATAGCGCTGACGACGAGGCTCGAGGTGAAGATCAGATGGCGGTTGCGATCGAATTCGCCCGCGAAAAAGTAGGTCTCGAGCACCTCACGGCAAACGAAGCATTCGAGCGGTAAGGTGGTAAGCATGTTGAGCCCGAAAAGACCACGGGCAATGTTGACGATGACGTCGTCGTTAGGGAAGTTGTTCTGAAGGTGGATGGATAGATAGTTGGAGTCAGTCTAATGCCGAACACTGATGAGCTTTGCGGACCGCATGTACCTACAAGGACATTGCTCAGAGTCTTCTCTTCAAAGCTCCAGTAGCCAGCAACGCTCATGGTGATGGTAGCAGCTGCGGCAATGATGGTCGAGTAGTGTGTGACTTGACCGAACTTATTCATCGAGGGCTCCTTCAGAGATCCATAGATGAGCAGAGAGTTGTGGTGGCAAACAAAGGCGAAACTGATCACAGAGATGGACCGAACCAGGTTGCTTATGTTGACGATGGTGAAACGAAGGGCAGGGTCGCCCTTGAGCTCGGCGGGCATGGCAGGACCTCGAATGGTGACGGCGACGATGATGACGACCATGGAGACGAGAGCGATGGCGCTGGCTTTGCTAAGCTTTTCGATGTTGCGATAAAGGGAAAGCGGGTAGGAGATGGCGAGGGTGAAGAGGGTGATGACGAATTGACGATTGGCGAGAAAGGTGCCGGACAAAGACGGAAAGATCATCTTGATGACATGAGGGATCGTGTCACCGATAACGACGCAAAAGGCGCACATGCCACCAAAGCCGAATGCGAACTGAAAGATGGACACGGCGGCTTTGCCATTGTGGCCGAAGCAATGTTCCATGATTTCGATGTAGGTGATACGACCGCTGAGCTTCGCGTTGAGGACGATGAGCCGGATGGTCCAGTCGGTGAGGAAGGAGAGACCTACGAGAAGGACTAGACCAGCGACGAAGCCTGATTCTCGCATCGAGTAAGGAAGACCAACAATACCGGCTCCAAGGATGCTGTTTGCCATGTTGACAGTGGCATCGAACACACCGGCACCTCTTTTGAGCCAGTCGGGAATGCCTTCTCCGTCCCAGCCGGGCACGCCGAGCGATTGACGTATTGAGCGAATATCATGACTCAGTCCGTCGAGGGAGGCACGAAAGCGGACTGGGCCCGGTATACGATCGATGAGTGAAGGACCCGAATCTCGATCCCTGCGTGCGTTGGCGGACGAGGAGTTTGCGACAGAGGTGTACATGGGACCGTCGTTGGAACGAAGGCCGATGTGGGAAGCTTGAATGGCGACCACGTCGTCTTCCTCGTCAATATCGTCCGAGTCTGCCTCGAATTGAGCCTCCTTAGAAGATATGGTCGACTTGAGATGTGGGGCGGTGCGAGTATCGGGCGGTGTTTTGGAATAAGACGGCAGGTCCGCATCCTCTGCTGACGACGAGGCGTGAGGTGGCGACGTAGTGGATGGTAGCGCGACCTCGTCGTCGTCGTCGTCATATGAAAAGGTCGGCATGTCCGCTACACTGTGTTGGGTAGAGCGCAGCTCTGAATGTGACGATGAAGCTGTCATGAGCGCGGTTCGACGGATGTGCCGATTGGACAGTCAAATGAAGCGGCCAAGCTCTCCGATTTCGGGCCATTGACGCTGCCCTTTGGCGGCTGAGTTCGGTGGACTGAGCCTCGTTCGGAGATGCCAGCGAGATTGCCAGAAGATGGCTGAAGAGTGACTGAGCGTATGGGAGGTGAATGTGACAGGATGGTGGCAGTGTCAACAGGAAGGACGTGCACGAGCAGCAGCAGCAGCAGCACGGCCGGTTGTGAATCCTGAACCGTGCTTGGGGACCCTGCAAGATCGCGAGTCGATGCACAATTTTCGAAAATCGCAACTTAGAAGAAAGCAAGAAAAGTCAAATATGATTGAACCATCGTTTCCTCGTTTCCGCTTTGCTCCACCATCACCCTCTCACCCTCCTGCATTCGCAGCTCATCGTCAAAATGGCTGCCATTGCTTCGGGCGGCTCTCATCTCCACCCACCCTTGGTGCAGCCCATCATCTTTTGCGGTCCAGGCAGCAACCTCTACCCACTCTGCAGCTCCACCGTCGCCGCTGATGCCACTCAAGATCCTCATCGCTCGGATCTCGTCGATCTCCCCAAGGCCATGCTTCCAGTGTTCAATCGCCCAATGATCGCATACGCACTGCAGCAGCTTCTCTCTGCTGGTCTACGCCATGCTGTTGTCTTTGCGCCCTCCGAGCATCACTCTGTCATCGCTGCTGCTCTCAAGTCCCTCATCCTCATTCCACCCACACTCGTCCAGTCAGGAAAGAAGCTCTCTTCCGCGGCTGCGGCTGCCGCCGCTGCTGCTGTTGAGGAAGCCTCGAAGTATCCCAACGTCTCAGTCTCAGTCGGCCTCAATAGCGCTTCCACCGCGCCAGCTGCTTCCGATCCATATCTCTCTGGGAACTCGTTCGCTGTCTCTTCCACACAGAACGAGACTGTCATGCGTGTCGATCTCTTGCCCCTCGGTCCCGATGACCTCGTCAGTCCCAAGTCGAGCTCTCGCGTTTCGAGTTCTGCGAGCAAATACAAGAAATTCGGCACCGCAGGTCTCGTCTCGTGGCTTCATTCTATTGGCAGGCTCGATAAGGACCCTCTCGTTCTTCCGGTCGACTTGATCACTCAGTCCATCTCTCTTACCGACATCATCAACAGCCATGTCTCTAGCGCACCGGATTCGCCCGCCTTGACGTGCCTCATGTATGAGAGAGGCGCCGGCGAAGGCACTGGCAAAGAGCGCGAGAAAGACGGTAAGTCTACACACGTCATGCCAAGGCTTCTCGCTCCTTGCCGTACTGACAATCGTCTCTCCTCTCCCTTCTGACCCTGCAGGACCGCCAAAGCTCTTCAGCGCCTATGAGCGCCCTTCTTCACAGACCAGCAGCTCGTCAATCTCCGGCAACACAGATCACTGCACCACCCACCAGCTGCTGCTTCTGCAGGATTCCGATGACGTTTCGGACATCGACTCTTCCGACCTTCATCTGCGCATGTCTCTCTTATGGTCCCATCCTCATGTTCGTGTATCCACCGCCCTCCTTGACTCCCACGTCTATCTCTTCAGCCTCCAGCAGCTTCTCAGCCTCCTCACTTCCGAAGCTGGTTCCAAGATGAAGAGCCTCCGCGAAGAGGTCGTTCCCTTCATGGTCAAGTGCAGCTGGATGGTCGGTCTTCGCGAGAAGGCTGGTTGGAACCAACACGCAGCCAAGGACACCTCCCTTTCCGATCATCTCTCCTCATGGAACGCCGGCTCTGCAAAAGAGAATGATGCCAGCAACCTCCGGTCGAGCACATTTGTCGACCCAGAGCTCCTTCAGGCTGGGTCTTCGTTCCGACCTGCTCTCGACAATCTCAACAATCGCACGTCGCCGCCTTTCACTCCCGATCGTTCTCAGCTCGTGTCTCCCGCTGCCAAGCTTGACGAACAAACCCGTGCCGCGAACGTACGAGAACAGGCTCGCGCCTCGGCCAAGAAAGCTGCAAGCCAAGCAAGAGTCAATGCACTCATCTTCCGGCTCACAGCTGACAGAAAGCATCCCGTCGACCCTTCCACATCTATCGAAGAGATCAGAGAGAGGGAAGAAGATGCAAGACGCGAGCCTTTCATTGCCCGAGCCAACACTGTCCCAACCTATTTGGAGTGCAACCGATATGTAAGTATCTGCCGTCGCCTCCGCAGGTCCATCGCACAGCTGAGCTCACACTTTCCTATCTCGCGACTGTCTCTTTGCAGCTGCTGCGCTCTTTAGCCACTGGATCCACCGGACAGTCGAGCACTTCAGCATCACACGCAGCCACGGCCGCCTCTTTGCCTGCTTCCACGCTCTCGCATCCTTTGCCTAATCAGTCGCTGCCGCCTCCCGCGACTCCAGCTCAAGCAGCCACCGATTCAGGGTCTGCACAGGATACGGCCAAGACTTCGTCACCGGCACAATGGATCGACTCCAAATCACAAATTTCCTCGGATTCGCTGGTCGAAACCTTCACGCGCGTTAGCGAACGCACCACCATCAAACGGAGCGTGGTCGGACGCGCATGTGCAATTGGCAAGAATGTCAAGCTAACAGGCGTCATCGTTATGGATGGCGTCAAGATCGGCGACAAGTAAGTCTTTGGCTCCTTTCACTCGAGTCGAGTCTCCTGCAGCATGATCATTGACCTTATTTTCCCGCTTATGATTGTTCCTACAGCGCCAAGCTCGAGAACTGCATCCTCGCGGCCGGCTCCATCGTCGAGGAGAAGTGCAACCTCAAGGATTGTGATGTGGCTGCCTCGGTCAAGGTTCCTGCTGGAACCAACAGCAAGGGCGAGAAGTTTGACGAATGATGCGCACTCTGTTTACGTCCGCGAGGTGACGTTGGCATGCAACATCGAAGTGGCATCGTCAGACGCTGCCGTGGAGTCAGCTAAATAACTTTGCCAAATCACATCTACCCATAATCGACTTGTGTCTGTGTGACAAGAGCGTTCCAATCAGCTGGGCAATGGCCGACAGCAAGGCGGAGTCTCGTCGGAATACGACCCGTCCCCTCGACCAAGGGAGCTTGCTGCGGTGGATGTGCGTATCCAATCATATCCAGCCGTACCGCACCTGGCCGGAGGCTGTTCTGTCTAACATTGAGGTGACTTTGAGCTGATCTGTAGACCATTTCCGTACACTGCCTCACGTCAGATGACATGTGCTGGGCTCATCCTCGCCGGTCTGGGGCTAGCCTGCGATCGCTCCTGATCTTTCACGCTTCGAGTCAGAAAGACCACGCGCCATCTCTCTGAAACCCTCATCGCGAGACACGCATCCCAACGTTCCAAAAGTCCAGCTCACGTCAGTGTAGGAATTAAATAATCGAAGGACTCGAAGATGATAGTACGAGCTGAACATGTTGTTTGACGGCATTGCTGGAACGTCCACTGACCGACTAAAGACAAGCAAATCCGAGAGGTCAAACGTTTAGTTAGCAAATAACAACATATTAATCATAACCGAGCGAACGTACGTTTCGTCAATTGGTCTTTGCAAAATAAAATCTCCGAAACTCGTATGCTTCTGGATTTTTTTCCACCACTTGCTCTATGTACAAGAAAGTCTCAGCTCACGGTTCAGCCGCACAATTCTATTAGTGATCGAGTGACCCGGACATAATGCCAAAATCACGGCATAATTGAGAAGGAGAGCGCGCTTTCAGTTTTAACTGGGAAAACCTTGATTGTCGTCACTACATTGAAGGGGCTTCTTCCATAAAATTGATAGAATCATTTGTTGTCATGATTGTCAAATTTCCCTGACAAAAAAAATGGTTCGTCTGTTTCAAACTATGACGCATGAAGCATGAGGCGATTTATAGCTGGCTCGAATGATCACCTCGTATCGCTAGCTCTGTCTCAACCCTCATCTCGTTTCAGACACCACGGCCACAAGCCTATCACCCTTTCTTCTTTCTCTTTATGGGCTCACGATCGAAAGAATCGCGACCTCGATATCAATTGCTTGACATTGGCAACATCTCACCCTTCCTGATTTGGTCCTGGACGAGTTGCTACGAACAGGTTCTTGGCATCAAATTTGTATTCTCAGTATATGCCTGTGACGGTGCCAAGTTCTCAAATCTCAGGCGGCAGGGCATCACAAAGTGACATTAAGCGAAGGCAATTGTCTGATCCTCGACTGACCACGATGCTGTCACAGTCAAATTCAAGATGACTTTTTTCACCTTCGAAAAGCACAATTGTTTCTGATGTGCTCAAGTTTTTCTCATTTTGTAGCATTTTTGTGATTGATCAATGCAAATGTGACAGACGCGTAACCCTGCGAGTCCGATCTAGTGCCTTGCGAGACGGCAAATGTGGACAAACACTAAAGAAAAAGTAGGGAGGTGCTGAGATGCGAAGAGATCTCGACAATCAATTTCCGTGTCACACCTTTTTCCGCTACACCAGATGTGCGCTATAATATCACTGCAAGCCGCCGATTGTACCTTCCACGCCTCTCCTTACGCGACCGAAGATGTCTGTGGCCAGATCTCTGGCACCGCTTGCTGCCTCGCCGAGGTATTCAGGGTCGAGAAGATTGGCAGCGGCGCCGGCCACGGAGCCATCGTGCCTCGTGCCATCCTGTCGGCCCCCCACAGCCAACTGAACAGGACCGATGCTCAAGTTCAGCGCTGGTCCTCCTGTACCAAGGTTGGCTGGTGGCTTGGCGAACCTTCCGTCGAAGCGGGAGGCGGCGTCTTGAAGCATATCCAGATAGGACCTGCTGTTGTGTATCGAGCTGCCTCCCAGGAGGAAGCGAGTACCCGTGCCGGCAATGCCTCCGACCGCAGCCTGCTGAGATCCCGGTTGGGCGCCACGCTGGTGCTGCGCATTCAACAAGGCAATGGAACGAGCTTCCTCGTACGTCGCACCTCCGATGATGAACAAGATGACATCTTGCGGACGCTCGGCAAGATTCGGCGGAGTCGCATTTTGGTTCGGCGAGGCAAATGGATAGCTGGTATCTCTTAGCCTGCCGCGCATGAGGTTGTCCACGGTCTGTACGAGGTGTGGCGTGTGCTGCGTGTAAACATTCTCGACGCCCTTGAGCCCCTTCAAGGCGCTTCTTCCCCTCGAGAAGAAGTTTTCGTTTGCAAAAAGATCATCTTGGCGTTGCTCCGCTCCGGCGATGTTGAGCGTAACGAAGACAAGGGCGGCCCTGCTTTCGGGAACGCCCTGCTTAAGCAGATCTTGCACCGCCTTTTGAATCTGGTTGCTGGGCAGCTTTTGGTATCGCAGCGCGTAGAGTATAGCAACACGAATCTTGGCGTCGTCCGGGATTTTGGGCGACTCAATCATGACTTGTACCGCTTTGAGGTCGGAAGCGTGGCTCTCGACGCTGGCGAGGGATTGCTCTAGCTCGGACACTTCCAATAGCGAGTCTTTTTCGACCCGACGGCTGAGTTCGCCGAGCAGCGCGACGTGCTTGCTGACATTGCCACCGAGCTTTCGAAACTCGGGGTACTCCTCGACGAAGCGCTTCATGTCGGCGACTGTATCGATGGTGGCGTTGGAAGCCGTTCTTGACTGGTACTCAAGCACGTATTTCTTGATCGAGGCGCCAAGATCGCCGAAGTTGTCAAAGAGATTGGCGGAGAAGAAAGGATCTTGGTCTCCGGACAGGACGATCTCCTGCGAGAAGTGGAACGCGATCAAAAGGTAAGCAATTCGTGGTTCTCAACGCGTGGTCAGCTGGATGTTCGACACAGTCGCGTGTCGGTCGTACCTTGCTTCAGAGTACTCACCTGGAGCTCAGCGCGAATGCCATCTGCATCAGCAAGGCTTACGCGGCCATTCTTGATGCCTAGCACCTCGTGGACCATAGCTTGATACGTCCACTGTGTGAGGAGCGGTGTGACCGGGTCATTCCTGCGATCAAGTATCAAGAGTAGCGGGGCGTTTTCAGTTCTCCTGAAGTCGAACAGGCTGGACTGGCTGTTGTTTATTTGGTACTGCGAGACAGACGGATGGCATGGAAGGATCGACAGAGAAGGATCAGCGGAAAAGTTCTTTGACGAAGAAAAAGCAGTCGAGACTTACAGAAAGCTCCTCTCCCAGCTTCTTGGCAAGGGAGCTCATCCTTTCGTATCGGATGACGGGCTTCTTCTTCAGGCTGAGCAAGAGAGCCACAAGGCCTTGTACGTGCTGATCAAGACCCTGCTGATCCCAGACAGCGGGGTTGTCTGCCCAGATGCGGGCAGGTGGAGTGTCGATGTTGAGCGAGAAGAGGTCGGTGTTGACGGGCAGATAGTCGGCGAAGAACTCCTGAATCTCCTTTACGACTTCGTGTTCGTCGGCCTCGGCTAGAAGCTCTATGTCTTGCTTCTGCAGCACGTTTGTGAAGTAGAGCCAATATGACTTGTATCTTGGTTGGCGTAGCTCGCGAGTCAAAGCCGAGATGGATTGGGGTGTTGGCCTCAGGAGGGCGATGCAGTTGAGGTGCCGCATTCGATCTCGGCTCGGATTGTCAACACGATCTGTGAGGTAGACTTCATGACTGAGTAGAGAGGATTGGGTGAAGGAGGTGGAGATTATTGGTGTTGTGTCCTGATCGAGCAGCAGGACCTTGATCCCAGCGACCTCGGTGATCATACGCTGTATGTACGCCGACACGGCCTTTGTGACGTCCATGATGAGCGACGATGGTTTGCGGCCGTGGATGCTTGAGCAACGGCCGATGACGAGAGCTATTGGAAGCTCCACGGGCTCCTGAGCTCGAGCCTGTGCCGCGTGATCTCTTCGTCGTCGGTGATGCGTGGTGGGAAGTATGGATTGTGAAAGTGGAGAGAAGGGCGTTGGGCGTGCAAGCAATACTGAGCATACGTTGAGCATGATCCGTGCCAAATCCGAATTCCGAGGCCAAAATGAATGCGGCACGTGGATTTGGCATTGCTTTGCACGATGATCCGCTGTCTGCCTTCCTATCGCTTTCCTTGATCCATTTGGGCGAGTACACCGCTGCTTGCCATCGTTCGCACCTCGACGACAGGCGAAACATGCCGTCGACAGTCAGCCATGTGGTGCCATACCATCCGAACGAGTACGTGCAGACCGCGTTGACGGGCAACAAGGTGTCGCGCAAGGCAACCATACTAGGCTCTCAGAACATCATTCTTGGCGGCAAATGTATCATTCAGCACGGTACTATCATCCGAGGTGATCTCAAAAGGATTTCAGCTCCTTCAACTTCATCGACAACAACAGCAGGAAGTCAGACGCAGCCTGCGCAGTCTGTTGCCATCTTCATCGGACGATATTGCATCCTGGCAGAATCGAGCGTCATACGTCCCCCATACAAGACCTACAAAGGGTAAGTGGACGAACTTGATCGACTGATGTTGCCAACACACTCAGCTGCAGGGATACGTGGAATGCTGACCGGCGTACGACCGTATGCTACTCCTGCTGCAGTGTTTTCTCATATTATCCGATCAAGGTGGGCGACCATGTTACGGTTGGAGCCAACACGGTGTTGGAGGCAGCATCCGTCGGATCGCACGTCGAGATTGGAGCAAATTGTCTGGTTGGTCGTTTCGTCATCATCAAGGACTGCGCTCGGATTTTGGACGGTAGCGTTGTCGCTCCAAACACCGTGATCCCCTCCTTTTCGATATTTGGGGGCAGCCCAGCCAGGCTGATCGGTGAGCTGCCAGAGACTTTCTCCGAGAGCTGCGAGGTCAAGATGAAGGACTTCTACCAACGTTTCCGACCTGCAAACGAGAGGTGACCTCGGTACAGCGTATTGTACATGTACATGCACCAGATCATGCCGAATTGGAAGCGCGCAAACCAACACACCGCACGCGACCGATTTCAGCTGCACTCCTCCACATGCACTTGAAGCACGCACAGCACGCAGAGCACGGACGTCGTTTCGAACAAAACAACCTGATTTGTCAACAGACATCCATCATCGCGACGACATCAGCTTTCCGCACATGACGAAGCTCGTCCGCAGCCTCCGACACCTTCCGACGTCTGCTTCAGCTCAGCATTGTATAAGGTCAATGGTCAATCAAATGGATTCAACAAGGTACAATGTACTTATTGACCTCAATGGCACCTGCCACATCTCCGACGAGCCGACCCCCGGCGCGGTCGAGGCGATGCAAAAGCTTCGGGCTGCTCAGCACAAGTTCCCAGATCGTCTTAACCTACGCTTTTGCAGCAACACGAGCAAGGAATCCTCGCATTCACTCCTGTCGCGCCTTCGCCGCGTCGGATTCGGTGCCGATCTCGTTACGGCGCACGATGTGTTCACAAGCCTAGATGCCGCGATTCGGCTTGTGTCTCGCCGCAACCTGCGACCTCTGCTGCTTCTGTCCTCGTCCGCTCAGGCCAGCTTCATGGAAGCAGAGCCTCTCGCCAAAGCTTGCTTCTTTGCCAGTCCAGAGCTGGATCCGGCCAGGATGAGCGCGGAACAAAGGTTTCGTCTGCGAGCGTGCAACGCAGTGGTTGTGGGCCTGTGTCCGGAGCTCATGACGCAGAAATGGCTCGATGAAGCTTTCCGGCTGCTGTCTGGCGAATACGGTGCAACGCAGCAAGTCGCTCTGATTGCGACGCATCGCGGTACGTGGCCTGCGTCTAGCATCAACATCCAAATCATAGACGCACACAATGCTGACATTTTATGCACCACCACGTTGTCTGGTCTTAGCATTATACCATCGTCCGAGTGAAGGTGCACCGCTGTCGATGGGTCCGGGCGCTTTTGTGGCGGCGCTCGAAGCTGCTTGTCACCGCGACGCCAGCTCTACAACGATATGCGGCAAGCCGAGCGAAGCATTCCTGCGCGAATGCATTGCAGGTATGATGAGCAGAGCTGAGGAGAGAATGGATAGCTACACGAATATCATTGTGAGTCGCGGCCGAGATGGAAAGACCCAATGCATCGTCGAGAGCTGACATGGACTGCTCCGGAATGCAATTGTTGAAACGGCGTGCACGAGACAGATCGGAGACGATCTCGACGCCGACCTCGGCAAGGGCACTTGGCAGCTTGGCCTACGTCGCATACTAGGTAGGTTTGTCACTGTATTACTTCCGCATTGTCGCGATGGAGTTAACCGAACTGACTTGATGCTTTGGTGATGCAGTTCGTACTGGCAAGTTCAGAGAGGGCGACGACACGCGCGGAGATCGGCCAGCGGATGAGACGCACGACAACTTTGCGTCGTGGGTCGATAGCTTCATCTCGAGCGAGCTCCGATGATGAGCGAAGCAGCGAGGATGGTTTGCAATGCATGTGCGCATTCGATGCTTCGGAAGGGTCGACGCCAGATTTCAAGAAGATCTGCGGAGACATCCGCTGCATCAAGCGCGTCGAATGCCCGCTGGCTGAACGAAAGGAAGCTTCTAAGCGTCCGGATGTTTCCGAAGAGGACCCTGAATTCTACTCCGGCCAGCAATATTAATAAATGACATCCAAGCGAGGGAGGTCCTTACAACAGAATCAATTTGGCACACAGGAGTTGCGACGATCTCGTGGATGCTCATCACAGCGTAGGATGCCATCCAGTGTGTTGCTCCTTTGAGCTTAGTAGAGGATGGCACGCTGTCGATACTTTGCGCCATGTAGGTTCCAACGATCTGATACAAGAAAGGAGGAAGACGCTTCTTGCTTCAAGCGAAGAAATGGCGTGAAGCACGGCCAGCCTCGTGGCATGTCGTCTGCCATGCATGCTGCTGTGACGTGGAGATCAGCAACAATGACGATGCAGGACGAAACACCTGACTCTGTCTTGATATGCGTCGGAACGATTCGGATCTTTTGAAGTGGTGTCGAGGCGGACATCATTGATCGTTTGTTCTAGCAGTTGATGTGTCGGTGTACGCGACGCAGTCGGAGAGTGACAACGCCTTTTGTTCATGTCTCGCCAAGATGAACATGTAGAGGTGCAGCGTCTGATCTCGACAAGGGGACGACATGAAGCGAGTTGGCACCATGTCGGAAATACCCGCGATGTTTCGATGAGAGAACGGCCATTTCTTCTTGTTTCTTGTTCGCTTAGCGTCGCCGGCCCGCGTGCAGCAAAGACTGGCTGGCTGCCCCTAAAAGACCGGCCACTTTGTGATTTTGGCGAGGTTGGGGAGAGCACACCCAACTCCGACGCCAACTGTCCGAGCTTCGCCCGACTTTACGATCAATTCAAGGACAATGGTACAGTGTAGCTGTAGCGGCTTGTGTGAACGAACAGTGATGTCGATCAGAGCTTCGGCACGAGTCTTTCCGTCGTCCATCTTCGACGCCGCTCGACGCCGCTCGACGCCGTTGCACATCAGACACCTCGTGCACCTCGTCTGGACTGACTGGTCAGCGAGCGTCCATGTATCTTTTGTTTCTATAATAAGATTTTTATCTTAATTCACACAAGTGAGCGCGTATGTTCCTGCCTCTTCCGGTCCCTGTGGCTTCCCCGCTTTGGAGGCAAGCAAGCAAGCAAGTCAAGCCCACGAGACCGTCGGAAGAAGCGCTATTTGTCATTGTCTTCTTCACGGTCTTCTCCGCTTCGGCAAGCAACCCACGCAAGGCGCACCGTGACTTGCACTCGATCCTGCCCTCCACCCACACATGCTTGTCACCTTGTCGGATCGTCCGTGCAAGCTCAGCACATCCTCTACCTTCTCCCCACCCACAACCGTCGCAATCACCCCGCCAAGACATCTCACATCTCCGAGTCTTTCGCTTCGAAGACGCACGGTGCAAAACCTATTCATACGGTGTCAGGGAGCATTGCTTCGGAATATGCACAAGCGTTCCCTTCCCCTTCCCCTCTCCATCCCTCCATCCATCACATCGACTAGCAGTGACACCGCACCGCAGCTCCTATCGCCGCATCCCAAGCGCGTATACAGCATCGTCCGATCTGCCCTGCGCATCCCGCCGCGATGACGCCTGGGCCATCGCCAAATTCGATCCTCTCCGTCCCAACTGCATCGCCTTCATCCTCAAATAAGAGGGATCGTTCCAATACCGCAGACGATCCCGCAGCCCACACGCAGGCAGACCGAACCCAGAAGCGCACCCGCGTTCGTCAAGCATGCAATCGTTGCAAAGCTCGCAAGATCAAGTGCGGCGATCTCAGACCCTGCAAGAACTGTACCAGCTTGGGTCTCGTCTGCAGAGACTGGCGTCCTGGCGAGGAACCCTACGACCAATCCGCCTTTGCCCACCCAGCAGGTCCGTCTTCCTCAACAATCTCCAACAACCCTGCCGATCCATGGCCCAGTCCAGACCGTCCCTTCCGAGCTCACGCTGCACCTTCAGTGCACAGTCACACCGACAGGCACCCTGACCGCACCCGCTCATCCGCCGACGTTGATGCCAGAGCAGAACGTTCCGGCTCAGAGATCCCGTGGCCCAACACGCCGTACGAACGTTCAAACCACACTGTCGCATGGCCTCCCAAGCCCGATCCACGACGCCACAGATACCTCGCCTATCCCTACGATTCCATCTATCGCAACGAGTTCGGTCACCTCAAAGCTCTTTCCCTCTCCTCGGGCCTCGGCACTCTTTCATACTTGCACGAGTATCACAAGCTCGCCAACGAGCAGTTTCTCGATGCTCTCTGGCAGGTGCTCGAGGGCGACAACCAAGATGGCGTCAACATGCAACTCTTCGCGCTCGAAAATGAATCTCTTTCGCCCCATTCCCATGGCAGTCACATGAGCTCCGGCCTCGGAGCGCCCACAGCAGCCTTCTCAGACTCTCTCGCAGCTGACTGGTCCCTCGGAAGCGCTCCTTCGCTCAACGTGCCCTTCACGTTTGATGCAGCAGCTGGGCCCACACCAGATCGATTCCCTTCAATGCAGATTCCAACAAAACCCACCCTCTCCGTCGCCAGCACTTCGTCCGCCGAGACTTCACCGGCCAACGCTCCGCCACACGCGCACGACGCAAATCATAACCGTTCTCGAAGCTCTACCCACCCTTCCATCCCCAGAAATGACGGCTCTCTCACCACCTCGAACGACCAAAATGCACCTGCCAAGACTTACCTCGACGCTGGACCGCCTCCCGAGGACCTTTGGGCATTCATGGGCACCAAAATTCCACAGCAGCATCGACGCTCCCTTCTGCACACTTTCCTCTCCACCACGTACGTCTTGTGGCCTACATTTATTCTGTCCGAGTTCCTCGCAACGCTCAAGGACGAAAACGAACGCCAAAATCCCACTTTTGTCTGCCTCGTCATCGCTTGCTGTGCCATAGCCGCTCGTCAAGAAGCAGGCAGCGCAAAAGGCGGGCACGCAGCCGAATGGGCTCGAAGCTTTGGCTTCTTTGAGCTTTACCTCGACATCCGCCGACTCGCACCGCGCAACACCGATTGGGCCAGCTTGAATCACATCCAGGCCCTTTTCTACCTATCCCACCACTGCTTTGGCGCTTCCGGCCCATTTGGTGTCACCAGAGCACACTACCTCATGAACGGCTGCGTCTCGAAATGCTTCGACGTCGGTCTCCATCGATCTGCCGAGACCTACACGGACGCGTTCACCCCTTCCGAAATCGAGGCTCGTCGTCGCACTGTCTGGGCAGTCTACTGTGGCGACAAAATATCGGCTGCGTATGGTCGTCCCGTCATGCTTCGCCTCTCTGACATGGACGTCCCCGAACTCGACGTCGACTCGGATGAATACACAGAGAGGCTGCCTGCAGCAACTTCGTTTGATCGTGCCTGTACGCTGCGACCGTGGCACCGCGCTGCAATTCGCCTCTTTTGCGTCCTCGAACGTGTCATCGACAAAATCAACCTTCCAGCTTGCAGTGCTTCAGCAGCCCTCGAACGCGTTATGCGCAAGAAGCCCAAGCGACCCAGGCAATCCGCCAATCACGACGAGAGCTGCATGGCTGATCACGAGGCCATCGGCTTCGAGGAAGAGCTCGAGCGTACGTATCACTCCCCTCCCGCACCGCCGCAACTCTTTTGCCGACCTTTGACTAACCTTTGACTTCGCCTCTCGTTTCTCAACATGACCTTCTGGCCGAGCAGTCGTTGATGACTTTCGCTTTGCAGATACTCCCAAGCCAACGTCTGCACATGAGGACGATCCGATGTATCAAGCACACGTCGAACGACTTCGCACAACGGCCGCCTTTATCAAGATCTTCATCTTTAGGCATCTCTTCTTTTCTGCAAATCTCAATCTAGCTCGGCAGCCGCCAAGGATCGACTATCGCGACGAGATGGTCAAGTGGTGCCGTGAGCTGCTGCTATCGCAACGCAAGATGATACAGCGCGGGGATTACACTGACTTTGGCTCGGTCATGTCGTACCAGCTGAGCCAGACGGGTCGAGGCCTGATCCCTGCCATCTACATCACATCGCGGCTGATGGACCCGACGCAGGATCCCAACTCTAACACCATCCTCAAAGAGGCACAGGAGCTCCTCGTTCTCGCCTACGATCTGCTGCGCCAGCTGTCGGATCGTTTCACTGCATCGAACCGGCAGCTTCAGATCATGCAGTCGGCCTTCCGCCGACTCGACCTCAGCTTGAGGAAGAGGCACCACAAGGTCGGGGCAACGGGCGCACACGACCCTTCGTCGCACTCGCACGGCGCCGCAGAGCATGGAAGCACGCGAGGCGGCGCGGCAGCCGGTTCGGCAGACAAGGAGATGACCAGCGGTCTCGATCTCATCGCCGGTGTTGCTGGCGCCGAGCTTCTAGGCTCAGAAACGCTCGGAGAGTCCAACGCCAGCAACGAGGAGGAGGACGAATTCGAGGACGATCTCGACAGGGATAAGAAGCCCGGATGGATTTCGGATCTGCCCATCAACCAGCCGGCGGAAAAGACGGCGACGTACCCGGCCAGTACCTTTGTCGGGTGGCCTCCTGCGCCTGCGCCTGGTGTGCCTCCTCGCGGCGACGAGTAAGTGTTTTGTCGAGCTTTGTTTTCAATCGCACTTGCTGTTTCTTGCGGGCGGAATTTGTCAATCCTGTGTGATCTCCTGTGTTCAATCAAGACCCGTCTGAGGATGCCAGCATCGTCACAAGACTCATGATCAGGTGAACCAGACTGCAGATTTGCCATGTCAATCAATGCGAATAAAAAATACAATTGCCTGCGGAGGTTTTCTACGACTTGGCAGCGGCGACCCAACCAGCCGAGACGAGGATGATGACCATACCGATGGCGCTGAGCGGCTGAATAGGGATGTGCAGGAACACGAGCTGATACAGGGTCGCATAGACGATCTGCAGATAGGTGACCGAAACAGCCCTCCCTGCCTTTTCTCTCTGCAGACCCATGGCGAGCAGAATCTGAGCGGCGAGACCAAAGATGCCGACGCAGACGAGGAGGAGGATCCACTTGGGTTGCGTGGGGAGGACAAACTTGGTGCCTGTGTACCACATGAGGAGGGCGCTGACGATGGTCGAGTAGAGCGAAAAGTAGGCGACCGAGTGGGTTGCGGAAGCGCGTCGACCGATGGCACGGATGGTGATGTAAGCCCCTGCGCCGCCACAGACACCCAAGAGTGCTAGACCGACAGCAAAAAGACGCTGCTTCTCGGTGACACCGTCGATAGTGACAATGCCATCTGCACCGTCAACGACGGTAGCGTTTGTGCTGGCGGCGCTGCGTCGTATCAACTCGCTCGAAGTCAAATTGTGCAAAAGATGCTTTACGACAGCGGCACCAGCTTGAACAGAGGCATTTGCGGTGGCATGGATGGCGGTTGTCGAATTGGTAAGATCGATGCTGAGCGGCTGATCGAGGTCTGAGTCGGCCGCCTTCCTTCCGAAGATGAAAGCGGGACGAGCGATGAGCACGACACCGCTGAGACTGACGATGCCGCCCATTGCCTCGCGAAGCGTGAAAGGTTCTCGGAGCACTACGAAGCCCAAGAGACCTGTGGCTAGGGGACCGAGAAAAGTGATGACGGTTGCGTCTGCCAGCGACAAGTACTGAAGGGAATAGTAGAGACCGAAAAGACCAAAGAAGCCGACGAAGCCTCTGAGCGCCAAAAGCTTGCGTACCTCCTTGGGACCCAAGAAAGGGTTCTCTACTCCCGATGCGAGCATGAAGCCGACACAGCCGACCCAGGTGATGGACATGCGAATAAAGATGATCTCGAGCGCTGTGACTGGAGGGCTCTCCTCAGGAGGAAGAAGGTTGATGAGTTTGAAGAAGAAGTTCATGGTGGAAAAGAAGAGCTGCGCCAAACCCAGCAGCAGGATCCCCTCGTTGCGCTTGACGAAGCCTCGGACTTTGGAAGCATTCTTCTTGATGCGATAATTCTTGGGCCGCAACGGTTTCGAAGGGTCGGTTTGTGATGGGAAGGGAAGTTCATTTGTACGATCTGGGTCGTCTAAGGAGCTACCGCGCTCGATGTCGTAGGAGGGTGAGCGATCCTCTCTGCTGTCTGTGGTAGGGGAGGCGTCTGATATTTGATCGAGCAGTCGTGCCGTCTCTGGTGTGGCGTCCTGATCAAGAGAAGGCCGTGTTGTGACTGAGAGCTTGCGTGATCTGGCAAAGGAAGCTGCTGGGGTGTAGGACGGCGTCAGAGATTGAGAGGGTATGGCGTCGTCTGGTGGTAGAGCGGTTGAGGTTCCTTGAGCTGAGAGGAGTGGGCTCCTTTCGTTGCTGCGTTGTGAAGATATGGAAGACCTCTGCATTGTGATGACTGCCCTTTAGCCTTGGAGGGGATGAGGATGAGGACGAGGATGAAGCGTGTCTCGGCGAGTGACTGTCCAACTTTGCCATTTCATTTGACTCAGCTCGTGGGGGAATCATTTTCCTGGCTGAAATGCGCGGTTGAGGCATCGTGTACCTGCCTTGCACAAATCCGCCGGAGAGATAGCCGGCTTTCTAAACGACACCATAAAATACAATTGTTAGGTCTCTAATTAACACTCTGACCGGAGCGGCGAAAAGATGTGAGACGGCCGAGAGTGGACGCGTTTTGGAAAGTGTCTGTGCTCGCACGGCGGATGCGCTGGAACTTCCAAATCTCAACCGCACACACCATCTCTCATTCCCCTCCTCCATCCCCGTCATTGCTGCATACGTCGTCGCAATATACACACAAGAGGAGCAGAGAACGTCGACACACACCATACCGCCTACACCTCACTGATCATTCTCCCGACGAAACTCGCCACGCACAGTTGCACAGTACACACACGCGTTCCACGATGACCACCGTCACATCCTCCTCTGCAGGGCTCTCGCTCTCTGCAGAGCGACCCAAGAACATCGAGACCCAACACGAGGACATGGTACACGATGCACAGCTCGACTTTTACGGGAAACGTCTCGCCACCTGCTCCTCCGATCGAACCGTAAAGGTGTTCGACATTGTCAACGGCACTCCCTCCACCACGCCAGAGACGCTCCACGGTCACCAAGGTCCCGTTTGGCAGGTCTCATGGGCTCATCCTACCTTCGGCGACATCCTTGCCAGCTGCTCGTACGACGGAAAGGTCATCATCTGGAAGGACAACGGTGCAGCCGCTTCAAATGCTGCTTCAGCCCCCTACGGCTCCCAATCCGCTTACGGTGCTCCCATCTCGTCCGCAGGTGGCTGGACAAAGATCAAGGAGCACACCCTCCACACCGCCTCCGTCAACTCCATCTCGTGGGCTCCTCACGAGCTCGGATCCATCCTCGCCTGCGCCTCTTCCGACGGCAACGTCTCCGTCCTCACTTTCAACAACGACGGCACCTGGGCTGTCGACCTCGTAGCCGCACACCCTGTTGGCTGCAACGCCGTCTCTTGGGCTCCTGCGGTTGTACCCGGCTCCCTCATCTCTGCTCAGTCTACCGCTCCCACCACCACCGCCGCCGCATCCAGCGCCGAGCCCAAGCTCGTCAAGCGCTTCGCGTCAGCAGGCTGCGACAACACGGTCAAGATCTGGGAATTCAGCCAAGACGCCAACCGCTTTGTCGAGGCGGAGTCGCTTCAGGGTCACTCGGACTGGGTGCGCGATGTCGCTTTCGCTCCCAACGTCGGTTTGCCACGAAGCTACCTCGCCACCGCTTCGCAGGACCGCACCGTCCTGATCTGGACACAGGACTCGCCCACCGCCGCTTGGGAAAAGACGGCATTGAATCCCGCCTCGTCTTCGCCAACACCAGCTGCTGCTACCAACAAGTTCCCCGACACCGTTTGGAGAGTCAGCTGGAGCGTCAGCGGCAACGTGCTCGCGGTGAGCTGCGGCGACGGAAAGATCACGTTGTGGAAGGAGAACCTCAAGGGTGCTTGGGAATGCGTCAGCGAGATGGACTCCTAAGCTCGCACGCGCCGGCGGCTTGTCATCATTTGCAGCCTACTAGCGTCCATGCAAGCGACCCTGTGTATACTTTTGTCAATCCGATAGCTCAATCTGGCCAACCGCATGGACGTCTGAGGCTACCTGTGAAGCTGTGGAAAGCGAAACTACTGCCCGACGAAATCGTGCACGCGTCGAACTCGGATCATTGTTGAGCAAGACCGTCTCAAGACGTCTTCGACGGAGGAAAAGCGCACAAGTGGTGAGTGGCGCCCGAGTCTCGTTGGCGAGTTGTTTGAAGCCAAGTCGTGTAGAACGATCCGTCCGTGCAGTGACATCCGATGCGGTTGACTCGCAGTGTTCGGATGCGGACATGAGAAGAATACAGCAACCACGAAACCCACTCGTCGGCCCGGTCAGCATCGACTCAGACATACTTTGCATCCGTCTGCATGCATGACCGGTTCCACGCCGAATGGTGTCTGGTTGCAGTCCGCGGCATGCACGCAAAGAGGAGCAGTGCTCCCTGTTACACGCGCCTCGTGTCTGGTGGAATGCTCACATTGAAGCCGCTTTTTTCGGTGGCGCTGTCGGAGTTCGGCCTGCCAAGAAAGACGAGAGGTCGGGAATGCGAGGTCCTCTGACCCGATCCTTATCTGTTATTGTACACCATGACGCTCATGTCTCGCATTAGTGATGTGTAGCCCTTAGCTGCCGTGCCGAGGCCTAGACTAGAGGAAGAGGGCGAGCGTACTTCGAACTGGATGCTAAACGCAAGCGACCCAATCATCTGGGTCATGACTTTGAGACCGAGACTGCGGAAAAAGGGGGGTTCACCTCCAGGGGCAGCGGAGCGCCAGGGCAACTCCTGTTGACATGGACCCGAACCAAGCCACACAAGCTAAGCTCCGGCTCGAGATGTGGGCCGTCCGTGGAATTTACCCCGCACATGTTCTCCGCACGTATTGTCGTCACTCCAGGGGCGAGAGCAAAGATAAGCTTTCAGCACCCGGTACGCTTGTCCGGCGCATACAGTGTACGTATGGCCGTCGAGACGAACAAGTCAAATTCCATGGCTTAGGGTCGTGCCTCGGGGTCGCCAGCAGACTCGAAGCGAGAAGTGAGGGGGTTTGGGGCTAGCGCTTATCTAGCCTTCGCTCTGAAACAGCCCGCACATGTGCGGCAGACGATTTTGGGTCATCGGGCCATACGAGATGATGGCATCACGCATAGCTGGAAGCAGAAGATGTTGAACCCCGTGGATGAGAAGTAGAGCGAGGGTGAGGTTATCAATTGCGAGCACCAGTGCCGCTCCCGAAACAAGGGTCCAAACAGGCGGGTGAGACAAGCAAGCAAGCCAAGCGAGCAAGCGAGCAAGCGAGACAGGCTTTATTATAACTTATGCTGAACGCGGATGTCCAACAACAGGCGAGGCGTGGACTAGCACGTCAGCACGAGGCACCTACAAAAAGGACGCCGGCAGTGACCGACGGAGCTGCTGCTTAACGGGGCGGTGCTCCCAGGCGCGTTGTCAGACTTGGCGATCGCAGTATACATTTTCGCAACAGGTCATTCTCCGCCTGACAACCGGGCGTGTACAGGACCATCCAGCCCAAGCCACTCGTTCGACGCCGCCGAAGATGCGACCCTGAACGTGTGTCTGCTATCGAATGCAAAGAGCATAGCTAACGTCCCCTGGCACTGGAGTCTTGCTGGCGACGACAGAGGCAGTGACGCGCGATAGAGGCAAGTCGTGAAAGCTTGTCTCGCATCTCAGCTTCAGGGTCTCAAAGAAGAAAAGGGCGTGGACCCTGTCCCTGGCAGCCATGCTGCAATGTCCAAGGCAAGGTGAACCCATCAATAAAATGCGGGGCGCAAAGCGGGGAAGCCGGTCGCGGCGAACGAGCCTTTTCGCCGCCCCCCTCAGGCTGGACCGATCAGCGAGGACTGATACGACTCTCTGCTCCGCCTGCGTCGACCATTTCTGGTGGAAGGGACCGGGCCAAGATATGATGCGAATGGCGTCGCACCTCCTTTCATGTTTACGAAGGATCGGACTTCCAACTCATTAAAAATTGGTGGAGGTGGTGGCTGACGGGCCGTGAATCGACGCAGCCATGGAAGGCGGGGCGCATTCTATCGGCCAGCAGACCCTCACCATATCCGCTCGTCGAGACCTAGTCCACATCGGGCAGTCAGTGATCTATATCGTCCGTTATGCCAAGCCTTACCAAGGAATCTGGGCGCGGTAGGACATGACGCGAGAGGTCGACCATGAAAGCATAGTCCGGCAGGATTGGATGAATGTACGAGGCAAACAGACAGGATCCAGAAAGTGCGTCCAGCGCCGCACAGCAACGTTGCTGGACCTGCGCGATTCGGTTCGCCCAATGTCGGCATATTTCTAGAGAGGTTTCGCCGGACTCCGTGTATGCAAATTGTCCGTCTGTCTCGGAGGTAAAGGTACTCAAATGTTGGTTAGACGAAGAAGGGCGCTACGATTGCATTGGCAATTCGTAAGGCAGTCCGCTGGGGTTTGGGCGTTGTCTCATAGTCGTATTTACTCCGGGTCTCGTTGCGATGCAGATGTGGGCCATGTCGGTGACGCTATCTTGCATCCGGAATGTGCAGAGGAGGTGCGATGTTGGCAACTTTCATGCCATGCGGTTCTAAGTGAGCGCAAGTGGTTGCATGCGTGCAGAGCCAAAGCGATCGCGAACTGCGTCGACAAGGCCAAAGCGGCAATGGAAAATTCCATCACAGAAACGTGCTTGCTTCTTTTCTCGGGATGGCGTTGTCAGGGTCCAGTCCAATCGCAAATTGCTTGCAAGTTCACCGTGCGCCCCTGACGGAGACCGTCTCCGCCGTCGATGCGGTACATCGTATACCTTCTCCTACTGCAGAATCTTGCAGTCTGCCTCCGCTCGTTCGAATCGGATACAGTGCGGAGAGGGAAAACGCCGATTGAGCGGTGACTGCAATGCTGTCAAGCGAGGAGGTTGTCCTGTCAACCCATCTTTTCCAGAAACAGTGTTGACCGGTGGTTGTGAGCAACGCAAGAGCGATTTCCTTTTCAAAGCAAAGCCGATGGATCTGTGCTGCAGGTCGAAATCAGGAGACTGCTCCTTCAAATGTTGACGACTTGCAGCAGTTTATCCCGCTGCATTATGCGACGCCGAGCGGACGGCTGGACAGAGGGGAACGGAACGTGGTCGCTTCTGTGTTCCGCCAGTGCAAGACTCACTTGCGATAATGCGTGCTGTTCTGCAACGTCAGTGACTTTGCTGCAGCGGGGCAGCAAATGGCGTCAGGGTCCGTCAGCTGTCACGCAGGTTACAGATCCGAGACTGGCTCGCTTGCAATTAGTTCGCGCGGCGGCTAAGCCGACGGGAGCTTGGCGTGCAAGCGCTGTGCAGTCAGGGGTGACTTGCACTCGGATCCTCCGTCTTGTTACTCTCGCTTTTCTTCTCTTTCCATCACCGCTTCGGCAGAAACCAGAAGCAAGCTCAGAGCGACGCAGAGATGCACGCGTGCCGTATCGCAGACATTCGAACCTTCTTCTCGACGCTGCTCAGCCTGGCTCCGTTGCAGCATCCATGATGGGCCGAGAACCACAGTACGCGGCTAAGCATCCATTTAGCCGAGCTTGTACCCTGAGCTCATCACGCGCGGAAACCAAGCCGCCACGGACTCTACGGCGGACTGCATCGCTTAGCTCCGCTAAAGTGTAACTTATCATCGGCTAGATGCTCGTCAATCTCATCGCCCCCCTTCCGCGGCTGTGTCTGCTGAGCGGCCTGGGACGCGCAACATGAGGTGGTCGGTCTCATTTATAGACTCATGACGATGGCAAGAGCCGGGCCAAACCAAGCTTTCTCCATTGTCGTTTGTGAGACGATTGTCACATGGGCGGGCTGATCAGACTGCGCCTGCGATACAGCAAAGAGCAAATAAGGGCGAAGCCCACCGACGGCATTGTTTCCACAGTTGCCTTGCTTTGTTGCCTCAATGTACGCTTCCCTGTCGAAGATCGCAGCCCACGAAAAAGCACATCGCGATCCCTGCAGCGTGATCATGCACAGCCTGCAGTGGATGACGAAGCATGCGGTGCGAATACACACATTCGTTGTTGGCCGGTGATGTTTCCGGATTGCCACCTTTTGTCTACGGCGCGAGAAGCAAAGATGCTGCAGGCAAAAAGGAAACGTCTCGGATGCCGACAAGATTCCAGGTCCGGTCCGTAAGAGACAGCGACGGAATCCGGTGCGGCAACAAGCAAGCGTGAACGGGATGGGAAAGGGCTGTGGAAAGGAAATGGGTGTACCAGAGTGACAGCATGCTACCATCCACATCATAGTGTATAACTACAGTCCGAACTTCATTTCACCTCCGAGACAGCAGAACCCTGAAACAACAAAAAAGAAGAAACTGTTTCGGTGTTGGTTGGTCGACCAGGAGCAACAACCGAGGCGCATCCCAATCACGGGAGCCAAGAATCATTTCGAGCCAAAGAGAAACAAAACAAAAAGTGGGTCCCAGGCAAGAGGCGCGCGCACCTTACTTACCAGCCGTGGAAAGATGTTTTATTATAGAATTAAAAATTAGACATGAAATCTTGAGTCTCCTTTGGAAGCCGAGCCACAGCAGCCTCGTTTGAGTTGACGGCACAACACACTGTCCACATGCCTTCTCTCTCACTCGGAAGTGTGTGTCTCTCTCCTCTCGCGGTCAAGAAAGCCAGGTCTCCTGCAGCGTTTCATTTACTGCATGGTGATTGATGGAGCGCTGCGGGCGGCGCCTTCCGTCGTCCTCCTGAACGCGCAAAGTTGATGCGTGTGTGACCGCCCTACCGACTGACTGACTGACTTTGGCTTTGATCGCTGCTCGGTGACCGAGGCAAGACACCACCACCACACTTATCCTTTTCGGTACCTGTCTCGACTCTTGACGCTGCCAACGTATCGGTCCGACCATTTGCAAACCAAATTCGCTTCCAGCACCTCATCACCGCCGAGCGACGCAGTGTCACCTCGCAAGCTCAGCTCAAGCGTCAGGCAAACACACTTGCAGGAAGAGCTAGCTACGGACCATCGACACCTCATCGCATCGAGCATTGTGCGATACGAATCAGGGGTCTTAGAAGCGTCCATTGTCGGGGTCATCATCGGTATTGACGTCGGCATAATATCAAGCGGCTGCGTGTACCTTCCATTTCTCCTCTCGACCACGTACACCGATATTCGACAGTCGCGCTTCGCGCATCAACAGCATTCATCGACCGACGCTGCTTCCGCAATCACTGCCGGCTTGCCATAAGGTGTGTCGCTCTGCTGATCGCTCGTTATACACGCTGAATCCAACCGAAACGCAACGCAATCCATTATTACATCTCGCTCTCGGTCTCCTCCTTCATCTCGATCTCCACGCTTCGATCGGGGAAAGCTTCAGGTATTGCACTCAATCCTTGTCGTTGTCGGCACAGGGCGTTGCCGACCTTAATCCGACCTTCTGCAACCCACGCTTGTATGAAACGCTAAGTTTGCCCCTCACACTCTGTCTCGTCAAACACAGAGTCAACCGAACCTGGACTTCGGCGACGGCGTTCTGCCTTTTCCCGACTCTGCTGCCGGTCCTCTTCCGGATCGTTAATGTGTCTGCGTCCGCTCGAGATTTGGGATCTCGCATTGATTGGATCGACTGCTGTGGCGCCCGCGATCCAGCAATACGCAGGAACAAAGCTCTCGCCTCTCTCCAGTCAATAAACAGAATTGGCTCCATCCCACGCTGCCAACTCTGAGCTTGCCGTTGCTCAAATCGCAGCAACACCGCGTCATTAAGCAGTCAAGCAAGGTGCTGCCTTATCCTTCCCGACAGCTTTCGGTCAAGGGGCTGAGCAAGCCTTTTGTTGCAGACACTCAAAAAGCCATAGTTCCTCTACGCGCCTGGCACTCCTGCTCACGTTCCACCCCGTTGGTCCCGGGCGTTGCTAACAGGTGGCTCCTCTCAGCCGTACCAGAGTTCGCTCGAGCAGGTATGGAGGTCCTCTGAGCTTCTCTGCTGCACCATCGTCCAGCATCTGTAGATCTTCCGCTCTTCCAACGTCCGACACCTACGCCGACCTTGCCATGGCTGCCGCAACAGCCGCCATCTTTCCATCGGCCCCGGATTTCGTCAATATGGATCATCGCTCAGCCGATGCGCACCGCTTGCCGGCCGCACCGTTCAGCGATGCCAACACTGCTAATGGCCGCTCATTACGGACAGCAAAGTCAGTTCCTTCGCCCACCACGCCAACATCGCCCTTTCGTCTTCGTGGCACGCCAAATTCGCCATCGATCCCACATCGCCGCGTCTACAACATCGAAGACGAATCGAGCTCGAGCACGTCCAGATCGATCGCTTCGGATACTCGTTCCTCTGATGCGTCCGTGACGCCCTCTCAGTCCGCTTCCAACGTTGCTGCTTCCTCAACTCCTACATCGCCCGCTCGTCTCGGTGTGCCTTTGCCTCCACCGAGTCCGGGATCGCCCACTCGGCCATTATCACACAAAAAGTCTGCAGAGCGCAGAAGGAAAGCGACTCGCAATCAGCACCTTACCAACCTCGAAGCGGCTTCCCTCTCCACTCCCGAGCTCCATCTCGCTTCAGACCCCTTGCTCGATACCCAGGAACCCACGTTCTTGCGCAAGCTCGTTCGCGGCTCGCGGGCTCAGTCCAATGCTGCCATCTCCAGCGCCGGTAGCGAAAATCAGAGCCGCGCAGCCAGCGCTTCGCCACGTCTCGGCGTTTCGCCCGGACTGGGATATTCGAGCTTTGCCGCCGCCATGAGCGCCGTCGATTCACGCAAAGACAGTCTGCAGCCTAGTGCGGTGCCTGAAGACGCCCGTTCCCGCAAACAGAGCACCGCCACGCTGCGCAGCGCCGATTCGGACGCGACCCGATCGTCCTGGGCCCGACAGAACGAAAGCACGGACACGCTTAGCCCAACGATGGATGGCAGCGCGCGCTCGTCACCGATCAAGTCGGAGCCCAAGTCGACTGCCGGCGCCTGGTTCCGACGCAGCCGCAAGGTCAACGAAGACGCCGGCACCTCGGTAGGTGAATCCTCCACACAAGTCTCGATGCAGCCGAGCCAAACGAGCGCCGCGACGGTCGGATCTGGCACTACCCTGTTGTCGGAAAGCAACCTCACCATGCTCTCTGCGGCGACTGCGACCACGACGGCGTCCTTTGACATGTCCGAGCTGGCGTCGCCTCAAGCTGCTCTCGAAAGCATTCGGAAAGCGCGCTCCTTCATGATTCGCGAGCTTGGACGTGTGAGCGAGCCCGAACAGGCTTTGGACAAGCAACGCATCTCGTCGCTCGTCTCGCAGGTGAGCCTGGAAGTGCACAATCCCAGCATCGAGGCATCGAGTTTCTGGCTCAGCATCGCCGACGGCGTGTTGCTTTGCCTACTCGCGAATCGTCTCAGGCCTGGTAGCGTCGACCGAATCGACCGCCGAGACCTGGAGTGGGTCAAATCTGACAACATTTCCAGATTCCTGAGAGCGGCACGTGACCACCTCGGCCTGCGCTCCAAGGATCTCTTTCAAGCCTTTGATCTTACTGACGGTACCGTCGAGGGCCTACTTCGCGTTGTCCACACACTTCAGGCGACGGACAAGATGGTCAGGCGAAACTCGAAGGTGTCAGCGGCTCGCGCGAATGCCATCAAAATTGAGCCGAGAACGACCTCGATGACGCCTCCCTCCACGCCACGTGCGCAGGACCGAAAGATGCTGTCCGCGGGCAATGGCGATCTGGACCGCCTCAACAACGATTCGGAGCTGTCGCTGAACGACGACACACCTAAAAGGACTCTGCTCGCGATACAGCAGAACAGACGCGAAGCAGAACGCATCCTGATGGGCAAGTCTGACTCTAAGCGTCGTTCTGGCGAGCTCAATCTGCCAAAGATGAAGGGCTCGTCCATCACATTTGCCGATTCGGTCAAGCAGAACAGCTTCAGCAGTGACGACGACAATCGTATGCCATACCGCGACCGCAAGCTAAGCGAGTCGGCGATCAGTCTCACGGGTGTTGCCGAAGAGCCCGAGGACAATTTCGCAGCAGAGCCCGGTTCGTTGGCCGCCGCAGAATCATTCTCTAGCACCAGCACGCAATCCACATCGATGGACCGCGTTCAAGGAAGGAGAGGGAGCAGCGAGTCGGACAAATCGACCAAGGGCTTTGCCGTCAGACCCGCACCGCTGGCTCGAACCACATCGCAGAAGCGCATCAGTCAAGAGCTCGCTCTGGGTCAGCTGCCAAGGGCTGTCATCGGATCGACCGAGAATCTGGACGACTACCTTTTCACCTCGGGGAGCCCACCTCGGCATGCTCCGACGAGGCGACACAGCGCGCGGCTCATCCCCGGTCCGTCTCTGCTCAACCCCTCGCGTGAATCACTGCTGAATCTGAGCTTGCAGTCGAACGGCGAGTCGGAGGCAGCAGCATCGCCCCGCGTCCCCTTCCCTCGTGGTGCCAACGATTCTCCTGGCGCTCGTCGAATGACGCGCAACCTTTCGTTGAACGCCGGTGTCAGCGACACCTTTCCGACAGCGTCTTCCGGTGCGTCAACAGCGACTGCCACCAACGGCAGCAGCATCTCCCCTAAGGTCGCCTCTCGTCCCCAATTCCGACACATGCGTTACTCTTCCGACCTGCACCTCCCCTCCATGACCCGGAACGCGTCCATGGGAGGACGCTCGCCTGATCTTTCGGTGGATGAACGCTCCTACGTTTCTACATCGCGCAGCCGCTTCGATTCCGAGATGGGTTCCGTCTACACCAACACTCTCGGCAGTCTCGCCACGGAGGACGCCGGTTCGGCAGTGACAAGAGGCAGTCGTGACGCCACGGGTCCCAAACACAAGATCGTCGTCGCGGAAGAGGGAAAGCCCAATGTGACCTACCAACTGGGCAACTGCATCGGTCGCGGTCAGTTTGGATCCGTATATCGCGCCTTGAACCTCAACTCGGGCCGCATGGTTGCCGTCAAGAGAATCAAGCTCGAGGGTCGTTCCGATGAAGAGGTGGACGACCTGATGGGCGAAGTCGACCTTCTCAAGAGCCTCACCCACCCGAGCGTCGTCAAGTACGAGGGCCTCGTGCGCGGACCGGACGTCGTCTCCATCATTCTCGAGTTTGTCGAGAACGGCTCGCTATTGCACACGCTCAAGGCCTTCGGCACTTTTCCGGAAAAGCTGGTGGCCAGCTACGTGGTCAAGATCCTCGAGGGTCTCAACTATCTGCACGGCCAGAACGTCGTGCACTGCGATCTCAAAGCTGCCAACATCCTGACCACCAAGCAAGGCAACATCAAGCTGTCCGACTTTGGCGTTTCGCTGAATCTCAAGGCGGTCAAGAAGATGGGTAACAAGAATGACGCGATCGGCACGCCAAACTGGATGGCTCCCGAGGTTATCGAGCTCAAAGGTGTCACTACTGCAGCCGACATCTGGTCGCTCGGCTGCACCATCATCGAGCTGCTGACCGGCAAGCCGCCTTACTACGATATGCTCGCCATGTCGGCCATGTTCAGGATCGTCGAGGACGACTGCCCGCCCATCCCCGAGAAGTGTTCGGATGCCCTCCGCGACCTGCTGACGCAGTGTTTCAACAAGGATCCTTCCAAGCGTCCGAGTGCCGAGATGCTCTTTGAGCACGAGTGGATGCAGCAGGTGTGGACTGGACACAGGGAGCTGCGCGAGCTTCGACCGCAGGACAGTGTTCCTTTCCTGCGTCGCATCAGTGCTGATGCAAGACGACTAGATCCTCGTATATTTGAAGAGGAGGCCGAGTCTCGGCCTGCACAGCCTGTCATGGAGAGGTCAACTTCGTCGCCGCCTCCTACTTTGCAACGTCCCGATCTAGAGGCGCTGCGAGCCAACACGTCTCCTGCTTCGGCTGAATCTGCAGCTCTCGCCATCAACGGTGTGTCGCCCAAAACGTCTCCGCCGATGCATGTCAACGCGCTGCCAAACATCGACACCTCTTCCGTTGCTCACGTCAACCAGCCCGCAATCGACCCCAGCAGTCCAACAGTGCTTTCGCCCGCCGGCGAGGCGTCGATGATCGACCTCGGACTCTTGGCTGACGAGGAAGCCAAGCCACATGCCTTTGTCAAGAGCACTTTCAGCAAGGCGGTGACGTGCAAGATCTGCCGCGAGCCTGTCAAGAAACATGCCGTGCTGTGCGAAGAGTGCGGTTTGGTATGCCACGCGCGGTGTGCGGGCTATGCGCCTTCTCCCTGCAACCTGCGCGCTCAGCTGCTCTTGTTCCAACAAAGGACCTCCATGGATCAGACGAGCCCCATGTCGTCGGCCGCTCAACTCCCGTCGCTCTCGCCGACGATTGGCGGGGCTGCCCACAATGCTCCAACGCCGATCAATTTCCGCTTGCCGTTCGGACTGAAAAGGCAGTCCAAGTCGCCGACGGTCGATTCGCAACCCAAGCTCGGCTTTGGCGCACCTGCCCGCCCCGAGATCGAGGCCGGAATGCCGCCTTCCCCTCCCAGCAGGAACGGGGCGCTCGGGAGCAAGCCTCCCAACAAGGATCAAGCGGCCGTACGCAAGCGTCGCATCTCCTTGATCCCGGGTCGGCCACGTTCGCCGTCGCCACCGCCTCCGGTCCCCGAGAGTCCTGAGGCGATGCGAGGTCCCTATGGCAACGGGGCGCTTCATGGCGTTCGCAGGCACAGCTCGATGAGCTACGGCAGCATCAGTGGCGCCAGCAGCATCTCGAGCGCTGGTGGCCTTTTCCTGGGTCAGTCCAGCTCCCGTGGTTCATCAGCACAGCAGCACCAACCGCAGCAATCGCGCCAATCGCATCAGCAGCATCAGCAGCATCAGCAGCATCAGCATCAGCAGCATCAGCAGCAGCAGCAGCAGCAGCATCAGCAGCAGCAGCAGCAGCAGCAACGGCTGCCTCACGCATCGACGTCTGTCCTACCCGCCGCACCTATCGACAAGCAACCTTCCAAGGACCGATTTCGTCGTCGACTCAGCTCTGGCATTGTTTCGAGCGGTGCAGTGGCTGAATTGACACCGTCGGCCAAGAGGATGAGCAAAGCGCAGCTCGGAACGGGTCCAGCGACGCCCACGCCTCAATCAGCAAACGACCGCAAAAAGTCTCGGCGCGCTTCGTCCAAGGCTGACTGTATCATCATGTGATTCCATCTCCACGATCCTTTCCCCGGATGCCTCGACACGACACCATTAATGACCCTGCTCAGAGGCTTCATTCACGCTTAGCCTCGAGAGCGCTCCCTGCATTGCCATTTGCTCCATATCTATGCACTCATATACCATCATCCCCCGTCCAGAGGGGGGGTTAACAAAACTGCCACAGACCGCGTTAAGCATTGCATTTCCTTTTTCTCACTGTGCTACGCAAACCATCGTTGTTCCAATCAACAGCTTGGAGGTGCGTGCGTGTTTGTGTGGCTGGCTTGAGAACAGTCGCGATCGCGATGAAGCGTGTGATGACGGGATCGAGATCGGCACGCGCGGGTAACAGCCTGAAAGAGAGAGAGAGAGAAAAGGTCCATTACATGGTATACAGGGGGGGAAAGTACAAGATATACACACAACAAGAGCGCGATCGCGATCAGCCCGGGTGGAGCGAAAGGGGGGTGGTGGGGGTGGGATCATTTCAAGTTGTTGTGGTGGCTGACGAAGGAGGATTGTGATTTTTCGTGTTGCTGGTAGAGCAGCTCGTGATCTTGACGTGTCGTTGACGCGTGTTGCTCGGCGAAGGGATTGGAAGGCTGATGCCATTGGTGCCTGTATGGCATGTCGAAGCTGGAGTCGTTCTTGTAGTACTGCGTGCCTCTCCTGGTGGAAGAGTAGGTGGCTTGTTCGGATTCCAAGACGGGATCTCGGGGGAGCGGACGAGCTTCTTGCAGTTTGAGGCCGGGGACGAGTCGTGCCATGTAGCTTCCGCCTGCGGGGATGGTACCGTGGGTGTAGCTGTGGTTGAGGTCGAGGCTGTCTTCTTCGACTTTTTCCAACCTCTCCCTTTTACGCCTGTACATCATGCCTGCGATCAAGAGGATCACGAGCAAGAAGAAGGCACCTAATGCGATGCCGATGATAGTGGCGACCATGCTTTTCTGCTTTGAAGTGCTGCGATGGTCAGTGTCTTTGACGAGACAGGTGGTGTTGCCGGCTGGGTTGGCGAGGACGAGCGCTTGGACTGCATCGTTGGATGTCTGGCTTGCCGAGATCTGATCGGTAACAGCGATGAGGGCGGTAGCGTTGGCGGCGAGGTCGACAGCATCCCAGTTGACAGAGGTGACGCCTTGTTTGACGTGCGCTCGGAAGACGAGCTTGTTGGATGTACCGTCGCGACCTTCGATGGTGTAGTTGCCCTGTGCCGAGACGCGGATGGCAGCAGGCTCGCAAGAGTAGAGCGTGGGGAGTTTGATGGAGGCTGCGTGGGAGAAGGAGGCCAGCGCAACGGCGGCGAGTGCGATGGACGCGAAGGCACGCATCGAGCTAGAGACAGGGTGAGTGTAGGTGGCGGCGGAAGGGGGGGAGAAAGAGAAAGGCTGGCTCGATCTTCAAGCCGTGTCGCGATGATGACTGAATTCACGTCGAAGCAGTGAAGGAGGCGAACGGGACGCAAAGATATGGACGATGATGATGGTGGTGGTGCTGAGTCGTGTGAGGGGAGCGATGCGGTGACGACAGAGCGACTCAAAGCTGTCTGCTATACAAACATACCGCGTCGCTGCAGTGGTAGTCGGATCAATCCGAAGGTCAGAGAGGCACTCAAAGGTTGAGAGCGTGCCGAACCAGCACAGCGGACAACGCTTGAGCAGAAGCTGGACACGAGAGGAGAGGCAGGCCTGAACACAGTATCAAGGGTCGAGATAACACAGTCACAGTCAAACGCAGAGTTCGGGTTGACCGAGCGCACCTGATTTGGTGGGAGAGAGAGGCCACAAAGACAGTTCGGCTCCAAGCCAGCCAGCCAGCTTGACAAAAATAAAGTGACACCAGACAATGGCTAGGCGGAATATGAAATGGCGCTAGCAAAGAGTCAGGAAATGCGGCGACACGCCTCTGACAACTCTGCTCATCCCGACAGCAACTTCATCGGCCGCTCCGAAGGGTCGCACCCGAACCACACCCCTCAACAGCACTGCGTCGCTTTCGAACAGAGTTTGTCGGCGCTGATCTCGTCCGGCGCATTGCAACTTGCTGGTGTTCGGCATTCGACCAGCAGCAAGCAGGAAGGTGTTCCGGTCCATCTGCCGTTTGTTTGCATGGTACCAGCCTTGCACAGCCCCGGATAGAGAGACAACGTTGGCATCGTCAGCCTCCATCAGTTTTGCGACGAGGGCAGAAAATGTGAATGACATGACCGGCGGCATCTCCGCGTTCTCGCGCAGTGTTCTCTGCATCCCTTTGTGGCTGGCGAGCATGTAGCCGAAGTGCAGGGCACCAAAAGAGGACTCAGCGGCAGCTCTACGCACCTCTTTCGACTGTCGCGTCGCGCCGAGTTGAAATACACCAAAAAAAGAAAGGACTCGCTCCGAAAGTAACACGTAACACTGCACAGCGCGAGTGTCAGTCAGCCCATCGAAAGAGCTGGCTCGGACTAGGTGCTGTTGGAGGCTGGACCCTGATTCGGCTGCTCTGTGGTTTTGGAAAACGTGGCCGAGAGCCGTTGGTGTATGCAGCATTGTACAGCAGATCGGACATCAACGCTCCATTGGTCTTCGCTGCTGCTGCAGTCCTTGCGACCTCGGAATCCCGGTTGGGATGTTTTCCGGTCGCTCTTCTAACTGTGCAGCTCAATGTCGATCTCGGACGTCGAAAAGAAACATGACCAACAAGCGTTCCCAGTTGCAAAGGAAATAGCTTCTTGGCGTTTTCATGCCAGACTGGACTCACTCTGGATGTACAACACCTTGACGATCTCACGGCAGCCGTCGCAAAAAGGTGCAGGATCACATGACAGACTGGCGTCTGCAACACGACGACTCCTTACAGCCAACATGATGAAGGGGCGATTCCTTCTGTGGCTGTGCCAGCCTTTTGTGTTCAACAGATTTCAACGTCAATGACACGTGGCATTCCGATGGCACCCACTCTTGCCCCGTCGTCAAGATAGGAAACAGAATTTTGTACTCCTTTCTAATTCTGTGTGTGCCGCAAGCCACCAGGATCTGCGTTCTGCAGTGGCGTGGGTTGAATTCGTCGAGCAGCGATGCGGGCTCACCAAACACGGCGCCTCCAGATCTCGCAGGAAAGGAATGATCGAAAAAAAGAAAAAACATCTCTCGGGCAAGGCATATATGCATTCATGCATAGCAAGAGCGACCAAATCGTATTCCGATGGCAGATGGGCCGACCGGACCGCTGCCGCCCGCTACCTATGTCGCTGACAGATGCCAAAGGAGCGTGATGCACTAGCTTTCGGTAGCCGGGTGCATGATGAGTGACTCAGCGGACTGCCGGCAACGCGAAAGGATACAGGGTGGAAGTTCCTCCGCACTCTCATACACGATACATGTGCCGTCTCATACAGACTCTTTCTGGAGCCAGACGAAAAGGTCCGAGGAACAGCCGACCCAACTGTATCTAGAAATGGGCGCGGAAGGATTCGGTGCATGGAGTCTTGCACCACCGCCGCCGCTCCAGAAGGAAGCAACCGACGGAAGAGGCTGTTCTTTGGATCAACACCGTCGCCGAGATCAACAAAAGCATTCCCATTTCGTGCATGCAGAATTGCCAAGCCACTTCACAGATTCTGAAAGCCAAAGGGCAGGCGGAGTTGCACTGGTGCAGGAGACAGCTGCTTCCTGACCGAGCATTTGTCTCACTGCTGACTCTTTGAGTAGCAAGCAGAACATGAAACGTCGGAGCTTGGTCTGAAAATGGCGCCCACACAATTTCGCGCGTCCTCCGAGCGGACCTTCTAGATTTCCCAAGATCGACCGATGCGTGATTGAGATCGGGTGCGAGACGAAGCGGAATTCGGGATTTTTTTGAGCCTTCCAAAAAAAGAAAATCTCCACATGTCGAGAAGTTTTGTTTCTTTCTTTTTGTGTAACAAAACTCCATCACTATCCGATCGCTTGCTCGGACGATCATCCTGTCCGAAGTTCTACCTCTTCCTCTCCTATCAGAACTTATCCTGAACAGGTGCTGTGCGTTCCTTCGAAGTCTACAAAGTAAAAGGGAATCACTGTCTTTCGGCACACAAGGTTTCATGCGAGGCACTGCGGCGTCCCTGAGCAGCCTCCTCCTTCGACCACCACGATATCCGATCCACAAGGCGCCCAGCCTCACTTCTCCCGCACATAGACCCATCAGAAGCCTGTACACCATGCAGTTCAACGCCTCCAACTCAGAGCTGGGATACCCAGACCGCACATTCCGAACCGAGCTTCTTCCCTGCGAGTCCGACTCCACGGTTTCATTTCAAGAAGCCGGTCCTTCACGGTACACCCTCAACGCCGAGCCCTACACCAAAGCGCTTCCGGTCATCTCCTCCTCCACCACTCGCAACAGCCTATCTATTGCTGCCGAACACCTTCGATCCGGCCAACTCGTCTCCTTCCCCTCCGAGACGGTCTACGGTCTCGGCGCAAATGCACTCTCGCAATCGGCAGCATCCAAGATCTACGCAGCAAAGAAACGCCCCGCCGACAATCCACTCATCGTGCACGTCTCCGACCTCGAGATGCTGGACACGCTGCTGCCGCAGCAGTATACGATGAGCGAAGCGTACCGAGAGTTGATCAAGGCGTTCTGGCCGGGAGCGTTGACGCTGCTGTTTCCGGTGGATCTGGAGAGGCCGGCGGTACCGAAGGTGGTGACGTGCGGACATGCGAGTGTGGCGGTGAGGATGCCGTCGCATCCGATCGCACGTGCGTTGATTGCGAGTGCGGGGTTGCCGATGGCGGGACCGAGCGCAAATGCTTCGGGCAGACCGTCACCGACGACGGCGGCGCATGTGATGCGCGATTTGGGCGGTCAGCTCGACGCCGAATCCGTCGTTGGTGGGTGCGATGGGGAGAAGGGAAGATTGAAGTACATCTTGGACGGAGGTGCATGTCAGGTCGGAGTGGAGAGTACGGTGATAGATGGGATCACGGCGAAGGATGAGATCCGCGTGCTCAGACCGGGAGGTGTCACGGTGGAACAGATCGCCGCGGTGCTCGACAAGACCGGCTTGGCGAACAAGGTGAGACTGCGAGTCTACGGAAAGGACATGGAGCGAAGTGCAGATCAAGAGAGCAATCCTACCACACCGGGGATGAAGTATAGGCACTACAGTCCCACTGCGAGGGTGGTCATGCTTCTGCCGGCGAAGCTCTTCGCTCGTGCTGTAGAATCTTCGAGCAACAAAAGCGCTCCAGCGCCACGGGCAGGCTCTTCTTCTTCTTCAGAGAAGGTCGTTCAGTCGCTCGTCAGTAGAGACACCGACACCTCAAGGACCCCACAAACCTTTGCCGACATTGCCAGAGATCAGATCTCCAACCATCTCCCACGCGATCGCCCCTCTTCCAAGTCGTCGACACTACACATCGGACTCATGATGTCTTCCGACTCCGATGTCGCCCGCCTCATCTCTGCCTCCTCCCCGTCCTCCTCTTCCGAGACCACACCATCATCGTCTCGGAGCATCCACCCGCATCTCCTCCCACCCTTCACATTACCCCAGCTCGACCACGTGGTCATCCACGCCTTCGATCTGGGACCTAGCCGTTCCGCCGAGGTGTACGCACAACGGATGTTCGACGGCCTACGAACGCTGGACGAAGGACCGTTGCGCGGTGGAGGAGACAAGTGCGAGCTGATCTTTGTCGAGGCGCTGGACGATGCGGGTGTGGGACTGGCGGTGATGAATCGGTTGAAGAAGGCGGCGAGTGCAACGGTTGTGTTGGATTGTTAAGGTGCCGGGTTTGGGTTGTGAAAAGAGACAGAATCATAGCAAGGCTTGCGCTGTGTTTGCGCTGAGGCGCTGTTCGGGGAGGATCCTAGAGAGCGGGTTTGAAGTGGAAAAAGCCGGTGAGAAATCAAGGTCTCAAAAGAAACACAATTGCACAGCGCGTCTGTATTTTGAACCATTTGAGGAGGCAGCAAAGCGTAAAGGTGTCGGTGAGGGGAAATTGTGTAGCTGGCCAGCACGGACCACTGGGATATTTGTGCTTTAGCCTCCACAAAGGCGTTGGCGCATCGAGTGGGAACAAGTTCGTGCTGACGAGGCTCCGGTGAATCATCCACCACGCTAACCCCGCGAACAGGCGGTGCATAGCCGGTCTCCCACGGTCAGAGGGTCTTAGGTCGCCACCTCTCCCAATCATTCGCTCCTTTTTTCACGACCACTCCCACCTTCCAGAAAACAAAGTCCTGACAAGATCTCGAGCCTTTCACAATGCAACCACTCATCCTCTACACCGCTGGCACGCCCAACGGCCAGAAAGTCTCCAACTTTACCGAAGAGCTCAAAGCCGTCTACCCCGACTTCAAGGTCGACTACCAATCCATTTCGTTCGGCAAGAACGAACAGAAGGAACCGTGGTTTCTCGCCATCAACCCCAACGGACGTATCCCTGCACTCAAAGATCCCAACCGCAACGATTTCTGCGTCTTTGAGACCGCTTCGATCATCCTCTACCTCGAGAAGCACTACGATCCCAAACACATCTTCTCCTGGTCGGATGAAGGGGATGGTGTGGACAAACGAACCGAGATTCTCAACTGGATCTTCTTCGTACACGGTGGAGTGGGACCGATGATGGGTCAGTCGAACCATTTCGTTCGCTACGCACCGGAAGACATCCCCTACGGTAAAAACCGCTACATGACGGAAACCAAACGTCTCTTCCAAGTCCTCGACATTCGACTGAAGGACCACGACTGGCTGGTCGGTGACAAGTACTCGATCGCGGATATCAACGCCTACCCCTGGTTGCAGTACTACAAATGGGCCGGTCTCCACGACGAAGATGTTCCCCAAAGTGTCAGGGACTATATCGATAGGAACTGGAACAGACCCGCGGTCAGGGAGGGCATGAAGGTTCCTAACGGCACGACTGATTGGGTGGAGAAGATGAGGAGCAAAGACTTCTTTGAAAAGTACGAGCAGGAGGCGGCGGAGAAGGCGGCGACGGCCAGCAAGTGGATCCAGGATGGAATGAAGAAGGATCGTGAGAGCAAGGCCTGAGCAGAACATGCCTTGGGTCGAGTCGTGGGGGGTAGGGATTTGTTTCCGTGTTGTGAAATGATCGAGTGGTTTCCGACTGACTCTGGCCGCTTGTCGTGTGTTGTCAGCCTCGCACTTGGCAGATCCTTGACTGGTGCGACCTTTTCAGGGTTGAATACGACAGGGCAAGGTTGCCCAAGGTCGACTGAGCACGACCCGCACAGACCGCTGACAGCCAATCAGCAAGAGAGCAAAGGAACGAACTGCCTGGTATTGATACTGGTACAGATGACTAGCGCCGAGAAAACTACACGACTTCGTAAACGGCCATGATGAGACAAGCTAATGAGACGTATGGACTGAGACGTTCGCCTGTTCATCAATATCAAAGCAGAGAGTTTGTCAGTTGTGCACGCGTTTCCAAGCTCGAGTTTCGGATTAGGGAGCACGTACCGATGCGAGCACCTTTGAAGAACACCCCTAGAAATCTGTAGTCCCAGCAACAGCAGGTGTAGGAAGAGAAACGGGGATGAGTGAACAGAGCGTTAAGCAGTTTGGGGGTTGGGAAAGGGGAGAAGAAGCGCTCACCCTTCCTTGTTACGATCGATCAAGGCCGGTGCGGTGGCGCGAACGTATGTGCACGTGCAGATGATCAGCAGCACGACTCTGAGTAGAGAGTGGAAGTTGAACAGCGCCGACTGGAGGCGTGAGCGACAGAAGAGGAGTAGCGGGAGGGTCAAAAGAGTGTCAGCTATGGTCTTTGCAGCTTGGACGTGAGAGCGAGTTGGGTGAAGTCGTACCATGGTGAAGAGCGGAGGAGGGATGTGGTGTGTGTGCGTGGCGAGGTTCGAGCGGTGCGTCCAGACCAAATCGGGGATTGTAGGCCAATTGTGACCTTACTGATCGCTGAACAATGCTTGATGGTGACGACGGTGATGGTGAAGGTGATGATGTGGTGGGGATCATCACAGAAAGAAGTTGACAAGATCCGTGCGTGCATTTCAGCTTTCCTCCAGAATTTGTTCCGCGGGGCATTTTGTGTTAATTCGGAAGCCAAGGTCCGTATTCCGTGGGGTGGGATTGCTTGACATGCATGCTGGTCTTCCGGTGTCGCTTTTCGCATGCATCGTCTTCTTGACAGCCGACCAGAATCGTACGACCTTGATCGTCCACACAATCGAGCCACCAACCCTTGCACGCTGCTAGACCCATCCCTCCTTGACAGGTATATAGTCCAGAAGACCTTTTCAGCCAGCACGCTTTCCTCTTTCGACGTGATCTTCAACCCACTTCTCTTTTTCACTTCCGACCGGGAGACGCCTCGCACAACATGGCCACCAACGGCCCACCTCTCGGCAGCACCGATCCAGCTCGATGGAGGCTCCGAGTCTCCGACGGCGGTCGTCACGTCTGGCACTACCTTCGCGATGACGCCGAGGCCCAAGCGTGGCCGCAGTCCGTCGAGGACAAGTACTGGCTCGGTCTCTCCACCGGCCTGCCCAACCTTTCTCCCGCCAAAACCCCCCTCGATGCCGCCAAGAACGGTCTCTCCTTCTACCGCCACCTCCAATCCACCGACGGTCACTGGGCGGGCGAATACGGCGGACCCATGTTCCTCCTCCCCGGAATCATCATCGGCATGTACGCTACCAAAACCCCCATCCCTGAAGAGTGGAAGATCGAGGTCGTTAGGTACCTCTGGAACCGAGCCGACAAGGCCGACGGCGGCTGGGGGATCCACATCGAAGGCTGCTCTACCGTCTTCGGCACCGCCCTCAACTACACCGTCCTGCGTCTCATCGGTGTTTCGGCGGAGCATCCGATGATGGTCAAGGCGCGGGCGACGTTGCACAAGCTCGGCGGAGCCGCTGGTATTCCATCGTGGGGGAAGCTGTGGCTGGCGATACTCAACTGCTACGAGTGGGAAGGAATGAATCCGATCCCACCCGAGCTGTGGTTGTTGCCGGACTGGATGCCGATTCACCCCTGGAGGTGGTGGATCCACACACGCATGGTGTACATCCCCATGGGATACCTCTGGGGTAGGAAGTTCAAAGCGCAGATGGATCCACTCATCGCTTCGTTGCGAGAAGAGCTGTACACTCAACCGTACGAATCCATCGATTGGCCGGCGCAGAGGGGCAACGTCGCCGCTGTCGACGTATTCTACCCGCACACCAAAACGTTGAAGACGCTCATGGCGGTGGTGGGAGCCTACGACAACTGTCACATCCCTCCGCTGAGGAAAGCAGGTATCAAACGCGCCTACGAACTGCTCGTGCTCGAAGACGAAAACACCTCGTACCAGTGCCTGGGTCCCGTCAACAAGATGCTCAACTACGTAGCTCGGTGGGACGTCGAAGGGCACGACAGCCACGCCATGCGCATGCACCGCGAAAAGCTGAAAGATTTCATGTGGATCGGTGCCGAGGGGATGATGATGACCGGAACCAACGGATCGCAGCTGTGGGACACGAGTTTCATCGCACAAGCCATGGTGGATTCCGGACTGGCTGCTTCTGCGGAAAACCGTCAACTCACATCGAAAATGCTAGACTGGTTGGACTCGTGTCAGATCCGCGACAACCCGAAACACTTCCAAACCTGCTATCGATTCGCCACCAAGGGAGCATGGCCCTTCTCGACCAAGGAGCAGGGCTACGTCGTCTCCGACTGCACAGGTGAAGGCCTCAAAGCCGTCATCATGCTCCAACAGAACGTCCCCTACCTCTCGCGCAAAGTCTCCGCCGAGAGAATGCACGACTCGATCGACCTCCTCCTCACCATGCAAAACCCCGGCGGTGGCTTCGCCTCGTACGAAACCATCAACGGCCCCGCCCTGCTCGAACTCATCAACCCCGCCGAAGTCTTTGGCGACATCATGATCGAATACTCCTACCCGGAATGCACCACCTCCGTCGTCACCGCTCTCCTCAAGTTTACCAAGATCGACGAATATCGGAAAGAAGATATAAGGAAGTGCGTTGATGCTGCAGTCAAGTACATCTTGAAGGCGCAGAGGAGGGATGGAAGTTGGTTCGGATCGTGGGCCATCTGTTTTACATACGCGACCATGTTTGCGGTGGAAAGTCTGATGTTGGCGGGACATACGTATGAGAACAGCGAACCGATCAGAAGGGCATGCGCGTTTTTGGAGGAGAAACAGATGGATGATGGCGGTTGGGGTGAAACGTACAAGGTGAGTATTTCCCCCCTGACACTAATGAAGGAAAGGAAACAATCAGCTGACGAAGAAACTTTGCTTTGATTTTGCCCGCGGGTTGGGTAGTCGTGCGAAACGGGAGTATATACGCAGGCACAAAAGTCACAGGTGGTACAGACAGCTTGGGTGGTCATCACCTTGTTGCACGCAAAGTACCCCCACCAGGACCGCATCAAAAGGGCCGTCAGGGTCATCATGGATCGTCAACTTGCAGATGGCTCGTGGGCGCAAGAACAGATCGAAGGCATCTTCAACAGGTATGTTTCAACGAACAACGAGAATCAGCGCGAAACAAAGACACGGTTTCGGTTGCTGACATCCTTCTCTTGCTGCTGTACGATGTTCTCGGTTGATGTCGATATCCGGCCACTGCAGAAATTGTGAGTATCCGCGTTGCGCGCTGATGCATGTCGAAGAAGGGAACCGCAAGCTGGAGCTGACGTGAAAATGTTCTGACAACCCTTTTGCCGATCGTACAGGTGCGATTTCCTATCCGAACTACAAGTTCAGCTTCACCATCTGGGCGTTGGGCAAAGCTGCGCGCGAGCTCGACTGGAGTTCCTAGAGACGGCAGAAGCACGAATCGCTGACCATATGCCTTTTCTCCTGCACGCAAAGCAGAGTTTGTGCAAGCGTTGAGACGGACGTGTGTTCATGTGGTGTCATCGTGCGCTTGAGGCGATGCAGCAGTAGCAGCTTGTGAAGAACCAAGCTCGTGAGGATCGTTCTCGGTGGGATTGGGCTGTTCTTGCTGAGGTTGACTCGGGACGATGGCTTTGAGATGCGGGATGCCGAGTTTGGCTTCGAGTTGGTACCAAGGGTTCTCGAGGAACGACGGGTGGAAGTAGCCAGGGTGAGGTGGTCGAGGAGCTAGTTGTGGATCGAGCGCAGGATCATTCATCGTTGGTACGAGGGGGTTGTTGTGACTTCCACCCCGACTAGAGCCTCGATGGTAGCCGCCGTTGTTGCCGCCTCCACGACCTCGTGCATGTCCGCCGCCGCGTCCACCACCCCGTCCTCGGTTGGGGCGGTGTCCTCGAGATTGCGACGGCCGAGCTCTGCTTCCTGATGCTTCGGCGTTCATCACGATCCTGGTCGCAAGAGATCCCAGAGCTGATATGGTTGCTCAGAAGGAGGAGAAAGGAGAAAAGTGGAGTTGTGCACCGTGCGGCGCTGCAATTGCAAATTTTATGTGTGAAATCGAAAGGGCACTGGAGCGGTGTGTTCACTCCAAAGCATCGCACATGATCCCATCCTCGCCTTGTCATCTCTCTTCCATCTCATCTCGACCTCACATCGCCAGAATGTCGTCAGGATCAAATCGAAAGGGCCTGTTGCCCACATCGCAGGACAACTCGTCAACATCCACGTCCGACGCTCACAACGCACCTCCGCCCGTTCAGCGCAGATCCTCACAGCCGCTCCCAGGCATCTCGGCAACCGCTTCCTCCCTCCGCAGCCGCAGAGCAGGGTCCACTTCCACGGGTTCTTCCTCGTCCAGCTCCAAACAGCAACACATCGATGACAACGACTTTGACGACGAGACGCCAGGCGACTACGATCCTGGCACAAAACCTTCCACCACAAACAGATCCAAATCACCTGGCAACTTGCTAAGAGCTGCGTTGGTGCCCGGATCATCGCAGAATACAACTCCAAAGACAAGCTCGAATGCACCGGCTTCAGCGCCAAAGAAGCCGACGGCGCCTTCTGCTCCTCTGTCGCCTCCTCCGGTCCCCTCGAATCGCTACAAAGGTACACCCGCCCGTGCGACGCGCTACTCGCTTCCTGTCCGCACAGAGAAGCCGGTTAGAACTACAAAGACCTCTGGCAAACACGTCGTGCTTCCATCCGAGTCGCAGCTTGCTCCCTTGCCTGACGAGGAGGATGAGGATGATGATGAAGATGACGACGATGACGATGACGACGAAGAGGATGGCTCCGACGAGGAAGAGGCTAGCGACGACGAAACTGCTCCTTCGGCTCCAGCTGGCACTGCATCCGCTACGCCTGCGCTCATCACTCCCGCCAAGCCCCCCGCCAAGGTGCCCGTCATCACGCCACGACCCGGTCCGACCATTCCTTCGAATCGACACACGGCTGCACCTCCCGTCTCGGGAAAACTCGTCACGCCAGCCTCCAAGAGTTCGCAGCGACCCGCCGCCTCCTCTGCGCTCGCCCGTGCCGCCGCCTCCTCCGTCTCTGCCGCTCAGGCACGCCAGGTTCAATCCGCCAAGCCCAAAGCCGCCACCACGTTCCGCAACGCTGCCAGCCGCGCACCCCCGCTTCGACCTCACAAGTCGGGCCCCGTCTACCACACCTTCGAACGCATGCCTCCCAGCGCCAGACTCATGACCCCGCTGCCGCGTGTGACCGCATTCAGCATCTCAACCTCGATCCACCTCGGTACGCTGCTCGGCTTCCTCCGTCGCGAGCACGGCGTCAAGCCACGGCTGTACGACGAGTGCGCATACGCCGTCTACACCAAGCCGCTCCTGCCCGGGTTCGGACGTGCAAACGTTCGCTCTGCCCCGGAACCGCGTTCTGCCAGCCCCGGTGCCGAGTCGCGCAGGGAGAGGGAGTTGGAGCAGCGCGAAGAGTTCGGCTACCTGGGGACGTACTTTGAGCATCGGCAGGAGGAGGAGGAGGACATCGACCAGGACGGCTACATCAAGGGTGGCGAGGGTCGAGGGTCTGATAGCGAGACGAGGAGGCGAGGCGCTGGCGATGGACGCGGTGGTGGAGGAGGCGACGGTGGTGGGGGAGAGACGTCTGCGTGGGAGAGCGAGGCGGAGAGGTGGACGCCGGGAGAGAGACGTGCTAGTCGCGAACGCGATGCGGATGAGGCCGAGGCGGTGGCGAATGCCGCGCATCAGCATGCACGTCACGAATCCGTGGATAGCAGCACACACCCTGTCAGCAGCAGTCTCGAGGAGGACGAGGGGATGCTCGCGACGCCTCTGGCTCGACCTGTCGCTCCACCGCGCCGGCTTTCGGGGGACAGCGATGCTGACGAGGTGCGTCCGTTCCTGCTCGAGCGTCGACGTGGAAGTCAGAGCTCCGTGTCGGACGTCGAGGCGCTTCCGGCGTACGAGCAGGGTGTTGCCGGTTCGCCGGTGGACGTTGCGACGGACAAGAGCGAGCTCGCGATGAACAAGGACGATTCGGCCGGCGCCAGGGATATGATGATGCAGCAGAGGGCGGAGGAGAGGGGCGAGGCCGAGATGATGGCGCATTCCTACCGGTCGAACGAGCTGGGGTTGGTGTCGGATGTTGATGAGGGCGGGAATGGGTCGCGTGGAGACGCGGGTCAAGACAGCATGGGTCGTGAAGATGCGGTTGGGACGATGCGATCGGTTGGTGGCGAGGATGTTGGTGGAATTGGGACGGGCAACGGTGGCGAGCGCGGTCAATCCGATCGCGGTGCCGAACAGCAAGCAGAAGCACAGCAGCAAAAGGACCGTCGAGCACGCAAGCTCAAACCGCGTCGTCGCAAACGTCGCTACGCAGGACCCAACATGGCCTCGCACAACCACGACACCTCTGCGAATCTCAACACTCCACGACCCATCCTCGAAGCCTTACAATCTGCCGAACTCGTCATCCTACCCTATGGCGTTTTGGTGATGTACAACTTCTCGGCTGCGGAAGAACGGAGCATCATCCAAGACGTTTTGTCGTCAGGGTGCGCCCGGGAACCTATGGACGAAGCAGCGCGCGAAACGGAAGCCTTCCACTTCTGCTACGACCCCAACATCTCCGCTCCACGCATCTTCAACGACTTCTTCACCTTCCGCGCTCCCAACCACCTGCTCAAGCTGAGCTTGGCTCACGCCATCGCCCAGTCGACCAAACTCTCCGTGTTCGAGGAGAGCATGCAGTCGACACTGGAGCTCACCTCGCACATCCCCAAGGAGATGGCATCCAGTGGAGAGCTCAAGTTGAAGAGGAGGGAGGCGCTGAGGTTGACAGGAAGGCTGTTTAAGCTGAGGGTGGATGTGAATTTGACCAGCAACGTGCTGGATACCCCGGAGCTGTTTTGGTCCGAGGCGAGTCTCGGTGGACTGTACGCCGCCATCAGGGATTATCTCGAGGTGGACGAGAGGGTGGAGAATCTCAACGAGAGGTTGGCTGTGGCGAACGATTTGCTGGAGATCATCCATGAACATATCGCCAACACGGCGATGAGTAAGATGTAAGTTTACGAAACCCCAAGATGAGAGAGAAGAGGGGAGAGAGAGGGGATTAGATTGCTGACTTTTTTTTTGGCCTCTGTTTTGATTCCGGGTTAAAACCAACAGCACGTGGATCGTGATCATCCTGATCATCGTAGCGTGTGCGGTAGCGGTGGGCGAGATCTCGGCGAGGTTCATCGTCGGCGCGAATCGGACGCAGGAGGAAGGGTTTCGTGCGTTCAGGGCGGTGAGGGGGCCCATGATGGAGATGCAGAAGCCGAGCCAGGGGTTTTATGGGTTGACGATGGGGGACTCTCTTTGACAGCCATCTAGCGGAAAAAATGATTGATGTGCATATGTCTGTCTGTCTTTGGATGTGGGATGCTTGGCGGTCTGAGAGGTGTGTGCGCAGGCAGGGAGAGGTTGGGGATGGTGTCGAGGAGTGCCGTGGCGAGGACGACTTTTTTATTTTTAGCGATGCAATTGTTTAATCCACTAAAAATGGAGACTTCTCCACACACACACACACGACAGGACCTTTTTTTTAATGGTCGGACGGTGTTTGAACTTTTTTTTTCTTTCTGTGCGTCTCCCAAGCTTCTTCTGAACACCATCAACCACGGTCAATCACCCTCCAACCACACTTTCTTCCCAAAATGGCCGAAGCATCCACCAACGCCACATCAGCACCATCCACTGCGACCACAGACGAACCAGCCGCTTCCGAGTGGAAGCATCCCGTCTACCCCGCAACCGACAAGTACACTCCCGGAATCGCTCCCATCAAACAAGAATACCTACTTCCCAAACCAACTTCCTCCTCCCACATCCCCGTCAAACCCGTCGACGACGATGCCGCTGAACGACACACTAACCCTGCCACTCATACCACCACTACAGGGAATGGTAAGGGTGGGGAAGAGCCGCCGAAAAAGCTCAAAGGAGCAGCACGAAAACGCGCACGCCGGGAGGAAGCTGCTGCCCTAGCTGCTGCTCAACGAGCCGACAAGAAGGCGAAACCCGACAAGGAGAAAGGGCAGAACAAGGGGAGGCAATTTTTGTCGATGAAAGACGCCAAGGGCTTTTGTCATGGGTTCCTGTCGAGGGGGAAGGACGGGTGTAAGTTTGTGGAGGGTGGGTGTAGGTTCAGCCACGATCTGGTTGCGTACTTGGAGGGGAAGGAGAGGGATATCTTCATGCCGAGTGTGGACTACGCGGAATTGGAGGCGATGAGTGAGGAGCAAAAGATGACGTGGTTGGAGCAGAGGTATTCTCTTACACCCTTGTCCGCCACCACCGCTGATGGCGACGAGACAGACGCAAAGACGCAAACGTTCGTCAAACTCTCCTCCTCAACCCCTTCCACTCCACCTCCATCGTCCGACCCAGCCCACAAAAGCATCGACCCCACCACCACCTGTCCCATCTTCGCCCTCCGAGGCGCCTGCACCCTCGGCTGGAAGTGTCGCTTCCTCGGCGCCCATGTCCGCCACGTCGGTCCTTCCTCCCTCTCCTCCTCCCCCACCGACGCTGCCACGGGTTTCGCGAACTCCGGGCTGGAACTTGTCGTCGATCAGACTCGGGTCGATGCTTGGCGTGCTCGGAAACGGGACTTTGTGCTACCTCAGCAGTCGCAAAGTGCGGCGGATCAGGACGAGATGAACTTTGGCACGAGCGCAGGGATGAAGGCTATGCGGGTACGAAAGTTTCCCTTGCCCAAAACAAAGGCGGTGCTGAGGTTCTTGGAGGAGGAGGCGAGGGAGTTAGCGAAAGTGGATCCGCAGGGGAGCACGAGTGGCAAGGGAGCGATTCCGAAGAGTATCTTTGAAGAAGAGACCAACGGTAAAGGCTCGGCTGCTGCTAGCGCTGAAAGCGGGGAGAAGAAGCAGGAGGACGACTTGGAAGAGATGGAAAACGCTCTCCGCAACACCGCCACGGCTCGTGCTGCGGAAGCATCCCTCACCACCACCACCTCGTCCATCGACACAGCTCGCATCCGTCCTTCGGAAAAACGTCGTCTCAACTGGCGCTCCCACCTGTACCTCGCGCCGCTCACCACGACGGGCAACCTTCCGTTCCGACGCATCTGCACCGCGTTCGGTTCGGACATCCACTGCGGCGAGATGGGCTTGGCCGAATCCTTCCTCCACGGCAACTCGTCCGAGTGGTCTCTGGTGCGGCGACACGAGTCGGAGCGGATTTTCGGGACGCAGCTGTGCGGAGGCAAGCCGGATCTGTTGGTTCCTGTGGCGGAAGCGTTGAAGGCCGAGGTGGGGGAAGGGTTGGATTTTGTGGACATCAATTGCGGGTGTCCGATCGATCTGGTGTACAACAAGGGGGCGGGTAGTGCGCTGCTGGATCACCCGAGCAAGCTGTCCAAGATCGTACGCGGAATGAACGCGGTGCTGGGAGACACACCGTTGACGATCAAACTTCGCACCGGCACCAGCGCCAAGCAGACGACGCACAAACTCTTCGCCAAACTGCAGACGGAATGGGGCGTTTCGGCAGCAACGCTGCACGGACGCAGTCGCAAGCAGCGCTACAAGTGGGATGCCGATTGGGGGTACATCTCCACCTGCGCACAGACGCTCCGTCAAAGCGTGCGCGAGTGGAACGAGGAATCGCGCTATGCGGATGAACCCGAGATGGTGCCCATCCCCGTGTTTGGCAACGGCGACGTGTACTCCTGGCAGGACTACTACGAACGCCTCGACCGAACGAGAGTGGATGGGGAGATGATCGCACGTGGCGCGCTGATCAAACCCTGGCTATTCACCGAGATCAAGGAACGTCGTGATTGGGACATCTCCTCGCGCGAACGTCTCGACATCTTCCGAACCTTTGCAGAGTACGGCTTGAGCCACTGGGGTAGCGATACCCACGGTGTCAACACCACGCGCCGGTTCATGTGCGAGATGATGTCCTTCACGCACAGGTACGTCCCCACAGGGCTATTGGAGGTGTTGCCCGCCAGGCTGAACGATAGACCGCCGCTGTTCAAGGGAAGGGACGAGTTGGAGACGCTGTTGGCGAGTGGGAATGCGGAGGACTGGGTCAAGGTGAGCGAGATGTTCTTGGGAAAGGTGGGCGAAGGGTGGAGCTTTACACCGAAGCACAAGAGCAGTAGCTATTCGACGGAGGAGACGGGAGAGCAGCAGGGGTGAGGATATCACGTCCAAGTAGAAGAATTACATTGGTTCGCTTAGTATGTATCGCCCTGCGTCGTCTGATTGAAGCGAGCAAAGTGAGTGCGTCTCAAGCGTGACGGTGGAAAGGCGTGATCGCTGTTAGATCGTGTAAATATTTGTTGAGTAGTTTTTTCGAAGGGCTGATCATTTTTGCTCGTCAGCAGCAGGTGCGTGCCACCAGAAAACGTGAGCGAATCGTGCGTTTTGCTGATCTGCTGCCGTCCCCTTTTGGTGCGAACAATGCACCGACCACCACCCAACCGAATTCCGCACGATTTCACACACACACACACACACACACACATCGCTCTTGTCTCGCTCACCCTTTCATCATCCGTACATTTCATCTCCCCCCTCACGACACCTCTTTCGTCTCATCCGACCTACGCACTCGTCACGCGCACACGCACACACCTGCGCGGAACAGGAACGAACAATCGCAAGAAAGGAGGGATTCGATCCACTCACAGCAGCCAACAGCAGGATCAAAGAGCGATTCTTGACCAACGCTTTGTCGTCGTAGCTAATCATTGAGCTCGTCGAAAGGATGGTGTCGACACTAGCATACGCAGGTGGATCCGGATTGACCACGTTATCCGCCGTCGGACTGTACATGCTTCTCACAGGTAAGCCCTCACCGCCTCGCCTTCTTTTTCTCCATCTTCAGTCCTCACTAAACCCACCCTCTTTTGTTGCGCCAACACAGGCAATGGGGAAGCATTCGACATTGGGGCATTTCTCACCGAAACCTCGCCCTACGCATGGGCGATGATCGGTATCGGTCTCTGTATCGGTCTCAGCGTCGTCGGTGCTGGATGGGGTATCTTCATCACTGGTGCTAGTATCCTCGGTGCTGGTGTCAGAGCTCCTCGAATCACCACCAAGAACCTCGTCTCGTAAGTTCCTTCCATCTCTTCCACTTTTCCTTTTCTTCAACACTCTCATGCTGATCAACTTTTTGTGGGATGCAAAAAAATAGGATCATCTTTTGCGAAGTCGTAGCGATCTACGGCGTCATTATGGCCATCGTCTTTTCCGCCAAGATCACGGGTAACCTCGAATCCGGCACCGCGGATGGGTTGTGGACTCCGAACAACTACCTCACCGGTCACGTGCTCTTCTGGGGCGGTCTGACGGTGGGCATGTGCAACCTGTGTTGCGGTGTAGCTGTCGGCGTGACGGGCAGTAATGCCGCGGTAGCGGATGCAGCAGACCCGCAGTTGTTTGTCAAGATCTTGATTGTGGAGGTGTTCAGTAGTATCTTGGGGCTGTTCGGGTTGATCGTGGGGTTGATCATGACAGGCGCTGCGGAGGAGTTCAAGTGAAGGAAAGCAGGAGAGGGAAGGAGGTGGGGACGAGAGCGAAAGTGAGTTGCTTGCAGAGGAGAGGAGGTCGACGTGCAAATTGTGAATACATTCTTATCAAAAGGGCTGGACGAATGTGTTGTTGCACCATGTGAGAGCGGAAAAGGACCGCGTCAAGAGAGGACGAACGGCTGCGGTTTGGACGTCAGTGATCTTCGGCCTGGTCGGTGTGAGGGGGATGGGCTTTGGCGTCGAGCCTGTCGTTTGGCAATGCTCAAGGAAGGAGCGCCACACGGCATTGCTAGAAGCGGTATATCCTCGTCGCTGTGCTTTGTCGATTCAAACGAGCCAGGTGGGGGGCAACGACATGTGCCTCCCCCCTTTGCCCGTCCCAGCTCGACCTCTTTATCATCGCCGGATCTCCCGCCGGTCACTTGTAAGATGTACCGACGGAGAAAGTTCGGCTTTTGGACCGCACAGAAACGGGACCACAGACCATAAACAGGGCGTTGCTTTCACAGACTACTCAAAACGCAAAAGTACAGACATACTGTATGTGCCCGGGATGGGATGCGATTTGCTGAAGCAAGTGAGCAGTGTTGGTGAATGGAGAAATCCGCCGACTACGGTGTCGACCAGTGGGTGCAAGTAGTGCTACCAAGCTAAAAGCCTGCCAACGACGCCTTCCTCGCTTTCAACCAGGCGATGTGTTTACCAGAGCAGCGACGTTTCCCCCATCTCTCTCTCTCTCTCTCTCTCTCTCTCTCTCTCTCTCTCTCTCTC